GAATCCGGGGTCCACTAGGGTACACCTCTTATCGATTACAAAACACTACTACAATTCCCGATCTCCAAAGAACCCCCTCTTTCCACTAAGCTTCCTCCTCTCACAATGGAACACCCCATCACCACATAATAGCGGTCAAAGTATCACAATGGCTCGGCGAAAAGCTCCTCCGGACAACCAAAATAGTGGACCACCTTGAAAAAGAAACTCATTACAAAGTCTCACACGACGCTTCTGCAGAAACCCTTATTCTCCAATAACCTTTCCCCAATAGCCTTCCCCAGATAACCTTATCGTAAACACGCAACAGAAATCAAAAGCAGAAACAAAAATCAGCAAAACAAAAAGAAACATCCGGGGTCGCATGCAAGTCCAAGCCCCAATTAGGCGACCAAGACACAAAGGCTAGTTTTGTACCAGCCTCGCCCTTTCGGCTTAGTACTTCCCAATACGGTATATGGGTGCCGGAGAAGCAGGGTTCCGGAGGGGCGGGAATCTCCGAAAGTCCGAGATATCTACATGCTGATAATGCCAGCTTGATCTGGCGTGTACAAAACCCCAGATAGCAGCAGGTACCCAATCGAAGGACATTTATTAGGCTGCAAAAAACGTAGTAATTCCGCAGCACCCCACCACCGGAGGTGAGGCTGGCTGTATGCAGGCAGGGTCAAAACGCCGCTCCCAACGAAGTTCGAAAGCAAGCCCTCAAAGTGTGGATTTGGGGGATAAAAAGGTACCGTTGTAATCCATGGAGCCCACTGAAAAACTTCATATCTTCATATTGCCTCTAGATAAAGGATCGCCTGGGAAGAGGTCAGATCTATGCCTGCATACACCACGTTCTGCGCTTAAGTCGTGCATGCGGGCAGGTCTAACGAACATCGCCGTTTTAACCTGTATCAAGGTGATGCGTTTTTGCCTTGGCTCAGGTCTATGCAGCATTTTTCAAAATTTTCGAAATGGCCTGCTGCCGTCAGTCGCTCTTCTTATCGGACAGACGATGTGCTAAAGTCGCCTGACTGAAATAATCTCCAAATCTCCCAAAAACCCACTTTTCCATCCGCTTCAATGTCTGACATCGACAGAAAAAGAGAATCCAACTCGCTATCACCCCACGAAAGCAATATCGGGGAGCTTGAGCCGGAGGATGACCAGAACGTCTTTAAAATCACAGACGACGGTCCCGACTTCCGTGGTCTCACCTGCTTTGGTGCTGCCCTGTTGGTGGTGAAAACACAGTTTGGTCTAGGTATTCTAGGTCTTCCACATACCTTCCATGTTTTGGGAGTTGTTCCTGGACTCATTGTGTTGATAACGCTTTGCATCTTGACGACCTGGAGTGGCATTGTCGTGGGCCATTTCCGTCTTCGTCATCCTCATACCTACAGTATTGGCGATGCTGCCGAGATCATGTTTGGTCCTGCTGGAAGAGAAGTCATGGGTGCTGCTTTCTGGTTGTTCTACACCTTAGCCTACGGTGCCACTGTTTTGACCGTTTCCATCGCCTTTAATGCCATCACCGAACACGCCACTTGCACTACTGTGTGGACAGCCGTGGGTGCCATTATTTCGCTTATTTTGGGTGTGGCCACCAGAACCCTCAAAACCATGTCCTGGTTGAGTCTTGCCGCCATTATTTCCTTATTTATCGCCGTTTGGACCGTGGCCATTGCCTGTCTTGCCCAGTCGACCCCTGCAGCTGCTCCAGCGGGTCAGCCTATTGATAAAGGCATTTCTGCTGTGGCTACAGGTCGTTCGTACGCTGCAATTGCCAGTGCTGTGGCTACTCAGCTTGCGGGACTCAGTGGAACCGCTTCTTTTTTTACGATCCACACGGAAATGAAGGACCAGACCCAGTACAACAAGGCCTTGATCTTGGGCCAGGCTTTCGTCGCATTCAACTACATCGTCATTACTTGCATGATCTACCTCAAGGTGGGCAACTACGTCACCTCGCCTGCCTTGGGCTCTGCCGGCACGCTTATCAAAAAAATCTGTTACGGTATCTCCTTGCCTGGTCTTATTGTGTCGTGCTTCTTTTTGGCCCACTTGGCTGGAAAATACTGCCTTGTTCGTCTCCTCAGAGGCACCAGACATCTCCAGGCCAACACCTTCGTTCACTGGCTGACGTGGATTTCCATGATGTCCTTGTCGATCATTTTCGGTTTCATCATCGCCAGCGCCATTCCCTTTTTCGGCGATTTGGTGGCCCTCATTGCCGCCTTGTTCGGTACCACCTTCACGCTTATCATCCCGGGCTTCATTGCCATCTACAACATGGGCAGCTACGTCAAAAAGGAGGGCGACCACTTGCTCACATGGTTGCCGTTGTGCAATAGGGCCTGGAAAAAGAGCCGCAGCAACATCATCAACGCCTCGTTGGCGTGGTTTTCGATCGCTTTCGGTATCTACATCTTGGTTACCGGTACATACGGTGCTGTTCAGTCCATTGTCGATGGATACAACAACGGCACGGTTTCGCTGGCCTTCTCGTGTGAGGACAACAGCGGCTAGACATAGAATGATTTATGATTACGGAAAAGAGCTGATTTGTAGTGATTACGGAGAAAGAGCTGTTTTGTAGTGGTTTATGATTACGGAAAGAAGGGACTGTTTTGTAGTGATTTATGATTACGGAAAAAGAAGTGTTTTGTAGTGATTTATGATGATGGAAAAAAGAGCTGTTTTGTGGTGGTTTATGATTACGGAAAAAAGAGTTGTCTTGTCGTGATTTATGATTACGGACAGAAGAACTGTTTTGTGGTGATTTATGATTACGGAGAGAAGAACTGTTTTGTAGTAATATGTGATAACGGTAAAAGGTACTGATTTGGAGCGATTTATGATTACGGAAAAAAGAGCTGTTTTTTAGCAATTCACGATCACGGAAAAACAAACTTTTTGTAGCTAGACACTGATTTGAGCCACAGAGACGGTGTCCTTGTTGATGCTGGAGACTTCTCTGTTTTGTTGGCCTCTGTAGTGCTCCGATGGAACGAAACTCTTGGATTTCCAAGCATACGGAATCTCCTCGTACAACTCGTCCACCAGCTCCAACGAAAGGCCCTTTGTTTCGTAGATGAGGGTCCATGCAAAAATGAAACAAAGAACGTTGCAGCCACCCCAAATGAAGAAAACGCTGGTTCCCAAATTACCCTTATCCTTATCCACCATGTACGGCGTAGCATAAGCAATTGCCCAGTTCCAGAGCCAGTTTGATGCCATACAGAGAGCTACCGATTTAGCTCTGGTTCTCAATGGGTACAATTCTCCAATAACCACCCAGGCACAGGGTCCCCAAGTTGCTGCAAAAAATGCAATGAAAATACACGAAAACGCAACAAGCACCTTTTTGGACGAATCTGACGAAGTTGCAACTCCCACAATGGCCACTATAAGCTGGGAAGTGGACATACCAGCAGCACCTCCAAGAAGGATGTTTCTTCTGCCTGCAATTTCCATAAGTAGGATTCCCGGAACGGTGGCACCGACATTGACGATATTCGTGGCCAAAGTAGTCAAAAAACCGTCCACACCAGCATCGTTGAAAAAGTTTGTACCAAAGTAAAAAATGAAGTTCACGCCAGTCAACTGCTGGAAAGCCTGGACCAACACACCTGTAGCCAAACGCTTGCGTTGGTGGTTTTTGCTGGAAATGACCTGGCCCCATGACGATTTGCCAAATTCTTGTTCAAAAAGGTAGGAGGCTTTGATATCGTGGTACTCTTCAAGAAGATCCTTGTCGTCGATGGGAAGCTTTCTGAGGCGAGAAAGCGAGTCCAACGCCTTTTCCTCTTTTTCCTTGGACACATAGAATCTGGGCGTTTCGGGCATGAAAAACATGCTGATGCCCAAAATCAAGCCCCAGAGGATCTGGATCGCAAGCGGGATTCTGTAGCATCCGGAGTTTTCAAGCTTGTGAGTAGCCTGGTTGAATACAGCAGCCAAAAAGATACCCACAGTGACGGCCAACTGGTAGCACGACACAATGGCGCCTCTGATCCATTTTGGAGCAGCTTCGGATTGGTAGAGTGGAACAGTGGAGGAAATAAGACCCACTCCAGCACCAGCTATGGCTCTTCCAGCACAAAGAAGGGGGATGCCTGTGGAAGCTGTTTGAAGGACTGCTCCCAAGTTGAAAACAATCAAGGAGGACAAAATCAAGCACCATCTGCGGCCCAAGGTGTCACTGATCAACGGCGTACAGAGGGATCCAAAGAAGGTTCCCACAGATAAAATAGACACAATCAAGGATGTTTCTGAGGAAGTGAACTCCTCACCGTTTCCTGGAAAGTTCCTTTTGACGTACTCCATAGCCATGATGCCGTTGATGGTTCCTGTGTCGTAGCCGTAGAGCACACCACCAAAAGCTGCCACTATGCCAACCACTATACCCATGGTGGTGGAACCAGCTTTCTTTTCTCCCACATCGATGAACCGCTTGATGAATTTGTTGTCCTCGAGGCCCATGTTGAAGGAATGAAGACGGGAAAAGAATCACGGCGATTCTGTGGCTTTATATGAAAAGGCATCTTCAAAAGGGGCGGCTCTTTGAAACTGGCCCCGCCGTGGAATTCTTGTGGATGAGTTTTTTTTTGCAGCCAAACTTATGTGCGGTGTGCATATAAGCGCCGATGATTGCCAAATACGAAGCGATCGGGCGTTATATGCAGTATTGAGAGGCCCCAGCGGGCGGGATACCACTTTGAGCGACCTGATTCAACGCGGTGGGGTCCATTACGTTACCCTGCTTCCTTTACGGAGCATAGCCTATCAATAATTAAGAATTATTCAGGCGGTGCTGGCGAATGCGGGGTAACGCAGAATAGGTAATTGCTTTCTGGGGTCAATTCGGCCAAGCGTGGCAGGATATACCGGGGGTAAGGGAAGTCGATGCCAATGCGGTATACATGCAAAAAATCTTCCTTCAGTCTCGTTCAATTTTTTCCATTTTTCAATTACGTGAACATTATTATTAAATACAAGGTATAGGGAACACACTACTCCTTAAGACCGGTCTTGGGCTTGATACCCACAAGCTTCTTGAGTGTGTCCAAGATAACGTCCTTGTCATCGTTGAAAATGACTCTGCTCTTTCCACGATCAGCAGCAGTGACACCGCTTTCTGGGTCAATGGCAGCATCGTCCAAGTTCTGGTCATCGGTCAACCTGTTGTCTCTCAACAAAAGAATAAATGCAAGCATTGGCACACAAAGACAGAGACCAACGATACACATTTTCTTCTGTACATCGGCATAAGCCAAACTGATGGCTCTTCTGGGGTCTGTGCCCCAAGCGTGGACCTTGATGAAGTCATAGGGCTTTTCGTACGCAAGCTGGGCCAAATCGGTGTCGACACCCAAATCGGCCATTTTTCCTCTGATCTGTCCGTACATATCCTGGGTCCAGATGGCACCGGAAATACTTGAAGAAATGGCCGAACCGATTTGGTAAAAAGAAGCGAAAAGCGCAGTAACAGTGGCCATGTACTCGTGGTTGGTGCATGTTTGAACAGACACAGAGGTGACTCTGAAAATGAACAGCTGGGAGAAACCCACAAGACACATACCAATGGCAATACCGTCACGGTAGTATTTGGCACGGTATCCGTCATTGGATCCTCTGAAGTGGACAAAAACACCCATGGCAATGAACAAGACAAAGTTACCAAACACAATAAACGCCTTGGTTCTTCTCACTCTGGACAAGACAAAACCGAGAATGGGCATGGTGATACCTTCGACAAAGTAGTTCAAGGTGACGGTTCTTTGGGCGATATTAACCGCAGCGTTCATTCCCACAACCAAGACAGGGTAGGCGTAGTCGTTGGCCATTCCACTGTTCAAGGTACTAAAAATACCAACGGCAAAGGCAGCCCAGATTCCACGGTCCTTCATCACCTTGAAGGGCACCATTGGTGTCTTGGTGATTTTCGACTCCCACAAGATGAAAACAGGAATGAGCAAGAACCCAATCACAAGAGGCACAATCGTGGAGGCTTTCTGCCAGGTTGAGTTGATTCCACCTGCCAAAGTCAAGGGCACCAAAATGAAGCCAAACACAAGCGCAGCCAAGAGACAGCCGATAAAGTCGACTTTCCAGAATATAGCATGCAAGGTGTCGAAAAGACGGACGCCAAAGTACTTGGTTTTCGCCTTGAGCTTGCCGAGCTTGGTGGTGCTGTTTTCAATCTCAGCATTGTACCTTTTGGCATTAGCATTTCCTTCAATAAAAGTCTCTCTTTCCTCCTTGCGGAGCTGTCTCCAGGTGTCCGTTTGCATGGCCTTGATGTACAAGAAAAGGAAGAAGCACAAGTAAGGCATGCACACCAAAGGCGTGGTCCAGGCCCACATGTAGATACCAAAAGACCAGCCATGTCTTGTCAAAAGCGTATCAACAACCTCTCCGACGGACCAGGTGTTGATGATGGTCTGCAAACTCAACACACCGATGGCTGCAAGTCTCCATCTCAAAGAGGAAGCATCGGACAAGTTGATCTGCCACAAGATTCTCATACCGGCGTTTCCAAAGCCGTAAAAGACCACACCGGCAGCGTATTTCTGGACATCCACGGCCTGGGACTGGATGATGAGACCGATGATTCTGAAGACAATGGCGACCAAAAACAACTCAAAACGGCCAAAGTGGTCAGACAATCTGGCGAAAAATGGCAACGAGGAAGCAGCCACCACGCTTCTGATGACTCCGACGGTCGACATAAGCGAGTGCTGTCTGTACGACGAGGTGGCGTAACTGGAAAACGTTCTTACCGCCTCAGCTTCCATCATCATGATGTACATTCCGATGAAAATGGTGAAAAAGAAGAAGCCCTTGTACCACCAGTTGGTCAACTGGGCCATGATCAACTCGGACTTGCGGATACCGTAGGACTTTTCCACGACGCTCGACGTCTCGGTGTTGACAGACGAAGTATCATTATCCTTAGAGCTCTGAGCCTTTAGCTCGTTGGAGTCCACGGTCTGGACCTTTTCGAAGTCCTGGGTCTCGTTGGAGCCGGTGGTAGCCTTGGAATCCATTGGTGAAGATCAAAAAAAAATCGGGGGATTTTGGTCCTTTTATATTTCAGCACCTGCCAAAAAAGCCTTCTTCATTGTGTGGTTTTCTTGTTAGGCAAGGCTGCTAAAAGCGGTTTACGAACTGCAGAAGCCATGCATCTCCAGACCCTGGTGCAGACGAAAAGCCCAATCGTGCGTAAAACGAACGTCAATCTGCGAGTTATCAGATGCCATCGGGGGTGGGATTTTGATGAAATTTTTTGGGATTTTCAAAAACATTTTTCGATCCAATGTCAAATTATCTCCTTCTTCAAAGGTTTTGTCTCTTTTTTCCAAGTTTCGCCCACTTCGTCTCTCCACTCGCTCAGACAAAGAACTTGACTGAAACGGCCATGGCCCACAATGAACGGTAGGCTTGACTCCAGGAATGCAATTCCTGTTTTCCCCGTTCCAATTCAATGCAACCTTCACTTTTACAGGAAGCCTTGGCCAATGGCAGACGTTCTGGGCCATCCCTTCTTGCATATCTGGGTGTTCATTGCCGCACTCGGAGTGGTCGATATGCTGGGTTTGTAGCACACCGCGGGCTATTTCGGTGTTTCTGACAGCGAATCCAAGCTCTTGTGATGCATGCACATAATCTGACAGTTTTTCCCGACGAAAACGGTCCAGGGAAGCGACTAGGGCCAACTTATAGTGTTTTCCCATCGCACGGAGAAACGGAGAAACGGGGAAACGGAGTGGTCGTCAGGGTCAAAGCCTATTCTTGGCGATCTGCAAACAATGCCATGAGGATGTGTTATACGCCGCGTGAAAGTGTCAAACCGTGGTTTTTGCACCCACAAAGAACCGCCCAAACTGTGTTTGAAATTTTGAAAAACGGCGTTTTTTGAGTTTTTATAAGTCAAAAGTAACATAAAAAGCATTTTATCGAAAGTTTCTCAAAGTTCTCTATTCTAGTGCAATACCTCCACCCCGCCTCAAACTCACTTAGGCACAGCTTGTGGGCTCATAGCCATTCCGGAATTGACGTGGTGTCACAATTCACAGACGCATGGGATCCACGAATCACGTTAAAGCCTCAAGTCACAAGAAGCGTAAGCGACAAGGCGGCTTATTGTAGGCGTCTGGATTGCCATTCTTCGGGTATGTCCGCTTTATCAGATTGATCACTCCGCTTTCTCCGATTGGAAGGTGAAGCCATCGGCGTCTCGGCGTATGCTGAAAATTTCTTGTAGATGCTGCGGCGCCGGGATTGGTGATGCTGGTTTTGTTGGATCCGTTAAATGCGGTTAGGAGTCCGGTTATTTATGGCAGCCAATGGAGGGTTTGGGGGTTTTGTGTGATGGAGGTTTTGATTAATCAGCAGGGGGGAGAGGAAGAGAGGGGGGTGTCAGTGCATGAAGGAAGGTAGTTGCAATTCGAGATATGGGTAGTGAGAACAGATGGGTGGATTTTGGTGTATCAGAGGGTCTTTCTCGAAGAAGGTACACTAGTGGAGAGATACATAAGCAGGATTGATTTAAACTATTTATGTCTAGACACTTTGGGTCCTTCTTTTGTATTTCTGTCTCGATTGAAGTGGTGCTTATCCTTACGATGGTACGTTGCATGGTAACGTTGTTCTGATGGTATTTGCCAATTGATACTCCGCTTCGTAAATGATTTGCGGCTTTGCGTGCTTGTGGTGGCTAAACTTGCCCGATTCACAAGAATTCATCTTCCCTGAGTGACCCATGCACCTAGAGTACTTCAAGACTCAATTGGGCTGAACCATCACTAGATCCGTATCTGAGCGATCTGCCTGCAAATGTAGAATGAGTCCTTATTATCATTGCACTTCAGGAAATAATTGCATTTGCTCTAGATCTCATCATTCTACACCCTATGCTTCATAGAAGGTGCATTATCTGTCGCAGCCATCGCTATACACCAACCACCTTACCGACTTTTGGCATTATAAGATATCCATTCATATTTTGTTAAATTTTATGATCAATGCTCCAAATTTTCTCTCCCGCAATTACTTTGACTCATTCGCCCGTCACCTTATAGCTTCGTCTGGTCAGATGGGATGTCCGACCCGGGGAGCCTGTTTCCATAGCTGCATCACCAGCAACGATGTTTCCAGTTTTACCCGTTTGAGCTGTCATGGTCGAGGATGAGTTGGCTCCAGAGAAACACTTCCTTTCAAGGAGCCCTCCTCCATTGGATGGTCCTCCTCCATTGGGTGTCCTCCTCCATTGGGTGGTCCTCCTCCATTTCCAGCTGCTGAAGAAACGGCTTGAACTGCCGACAACTTAGCAGACATAGCTCTCAACTTCCGGCGAAGCCTCTGACGATATTTGGCTTGTTTGCTTGCCTTTGTCATTTCTGGTCTTTGTGGACTTCAAAAAAATACCAACGGCTAAGAACTCCTCGTAAGTAACTCTGCTTTGTTGTAATGGAATGGGCGGTCGTCAATAATCAACTATAAGATGCTCAAATCAGGCTCTGAGCTTCAAGTTGTCAAAATCCGACTTTGGGTGTGTGGAAGAAAGTGGGTCAAAACGGTTTGCAGCCATTCGCGATAACCCCCCACAAGCTCCAGTGAACCTGAGTACCCAAGACGACCAGCCTTCATAGCACAAGCCCTTTTAAAGAGGCTTCAGTTGTCTTTTAATTCAATAAAAAATTCCAGTTCCACTTACCTCCATCTTCCTTGAAGTGGATAGCTCACAACTCATCATAGCAGACCCACTAGGTGAGACTAGCCAAGGGCACCCCACATATCTCCTCAAAATCAACGCCTACCAAAACCAACACCTCCCGATCCCTAAATTGTCAAAGCTCCATAAACGTGATTGTATTCGAAAATATAATAATATATTTCTCTTGCCCTCCCCCACCCATCCCCCACCATCACCACATGCGTGCACGGTTCAAATCACATATAGCCATCGCAGCTCATCGAGTCCCACCACCATGTTGTACTTGATCGGCCTAGGCCTCTCCCACGAGACCGACATCACCGTGCGTGGTCTTGAAACAGTCAAGAAATGTGAAAGAGTGTATCTTGAAGCGTACACCTCCATTCTCATGGCGGCTGACTTGGAGTCGCTTGAAAAGTTCTACGGTAAGGAAGTCATTCTTGCCGACAGAGAATTGGTGGAGTCTGGCGCCGACCAGATTCTCAAGGATGCTGATAAAGTTGACGTTGCATTTTTGGTGGTTGGTGATGTTTTCGGCGCCACTACTCACACAGACTTGGTCATCAGAGCCAATGAGCTCAATATCCCATTTGAAAGCATCCACAATGCTTCGGTGATGAACGCCGTGGGCGCCTGTGGCTTGCAATTGTACCAGTTTGGCCAGACCGTGTCGTTGGTGTTTTTCACCGAAACCTGGAAACCAGACTCGTTCTACCTGAAGATCATGGAGAACAGAAAGATCGGTCTCCACACCCTTTTGCTTTTGGACATCAAGGTCAAGGAGCAGAGCATAGAAAACATGGCCAGAGGAAGGTTGATCTACGAGCCTCCTCGCTACATGGACATCCAGACTGCTGCCCAGCAGCTTTTGGAGATTGAAGAGCTCAGAGGTGAAAAGGCTTACACTCCCGAAACGCCATGTGTGGCTATTTCCCGTCTTGGGTCGCCTACACAGAAGTTCAAGGCTGCTACATTGAAGGAATTGGCCGAGTACGATGCCGGTGAGCCTTTGCATTCGTTGGTTATGTTGGGAAGACAAGTGCACGACTTGGAGTTGGAGTACTTGTACCAGTTTGTCGACGACAAGGAGAAGTTCATGGCGTTTGTGGAGGCGGACCAGGAGCATTTCAAGCCTCCTCCATATGTGCCTCCTGAGGAGGACCTCAGCGATTAGCTGCCACACCCCCATGTCCATAGCGGAATTAATATAAATAGTGAAGCACATTACTGGTTCTTCTTCTCGGCAGCGGACTCAAGATCGTCCCAGATGTTGTTTGTGATGTCCCACGCCATCCAGTCGTACCAGCCAAAGAAGGCAGGGAAGAACGTCACCAAATGCCACAACGAATGGGCATCTACCAAGTCGAAAAAGACCGGTGGGAAATCGAAGATTTCAAGCAGCATGCCCACAATGACAATGAAGCAGAGCAAAAGCGGGTAGAGCGAGTAGAGCTTGGGCGATTTGGAGTAGAAACTGCCCAAGATGATGCGGTTGGAACGAATGTACTGAAGGTGGTCCAAGCGGATCACGTCGTCCTCCTTCTCGAGATTATAGTACTTTGTGTAGATTTCAAAACACGTCAAGCCCCAGAAGATGTTCTGCAAAACCCCCACCGTGATGTTCGCTTGCATGTTGTATGTGTACAGCCAGTCGGTTTCAAGACGGTAGATGTGGGCAGCGTAGGCGCCAGCGCATAGCAAGAAAAACAAGTATTTGAGGAGGAATCTCTGTGGGAGGTAGAGGCGGAAGTAGCGGAAGGTGATACCGTAGAATCCGGTCAAGACGGTCAATCCAGCAAGGTAGTAGTCGAGCTTTTCGGTCAAGAGCACGTCACGAATGTGGAAGATCGTCAGAGCGAGCCACGCTGCCATGGCCACAAACGCAGCAAAACGTGCGTTATTGAATGGCACTCGAAGAAACGAGGACTGGTTCTTTGGAAGCTTGTTGAGAGTATCTTTCATGAACTTGTACCCGAGGTAGTGGGGGACAAAGTTCAACAAGGAAAACAACGCCAGCACCACTTCCTGAACGCCAAAGATCCTCCAGAATGGCCATTTGCCGTGGAATTGGTACACCTCTTCATCGTTTCTGACTCTCTCTTTGGTCACAATCTGTTGACACTGGTAGTCGCAATTGGAGGGGCAATCCCAGCCCAAAATCTGCATGGGAAGGTTGATTTTCCCCAGCGTAAACCGCCACAGCGGCTCGTACCGTCTGTATTCTCCAGACGCTTTGAGTGCTTCTTCAAACTGGTTCTGAAGAAGATAGTATGGATTCAGGTAACAGGACAACTGTTCACACTGAAATCTGCAGTCTCTGAATTCGTCCAAGTTGTCACCTGGAGAAGCCCAGACGGCAGCTGCAGCCATTAGCAGAAGCACAGTCAGAGAAAGCATGGTATGTGTTTTAGGTGTAGTTGATTTTTCGCGAACATGGTTATGTATTGCAATGCTGCAACTTGTGGGACGATTTAGGGAATTGCATGGGAGCGAGGAGCATAACAATTGGGAGAGATTTGTAAATGTGAAAAAACTTACAATCTGACATTTGGTGACTTTGGTGACTTTCGTCGATGAACTGGACCCGAATTTTCCAGAACATCGATGGTCCATGCAGTGATGGCTGCAAGGTGGGGTGAAAAATTAGGCTCTTGATCTATCCGAGCTCGTTTAAGAGGTTGTTTTGAGGAGAGGTCTTTTGAATGAACTTGGTGAGTTTAAAGATTTTCGATGAAGCTCGCCGAAGATGGTGTGGTGCTTTGGTTGTGGTACATTGGCTGAGGAAGCAACAGCAATGACAACATGCTGGGTTTTCAATTTATACGAGGTAGTATGTCTATCTTTTTCTTCTTTTCTCATAGAGATAGATTTTGAAAACGGCACAGGATGGTATCAATCGCAGATGGAGAGTCGACCCACCTGTGGGCTGAGGGGATGCTGCAGCCTATCAGGAGCGATTCAATTCAATGTAAATGTTCAAAATGTAAATGATCAGCTTTAGGCAAATGAGCTAAATTATTATTCATAAATTTGAATGGAAACTCAATATGCTTCGGTACGGCTTGACCAGAAATATGCGGAATCTGTAGAAGGCTTTGCGATACATGTTAACCGTGAACCATTGCCCCATGGAAACCATTTATTGTGAAATTTGGGTATTACAATGAGTCGAAATAGACCTTAAAGCCCTAAAAATCTCATCTACTACTTCTTGATAATTTTCGTTGCTGGAATACAACCCCGCGCAATTTGCAGCCAATATAGCCAATGAGGGGCACTCCATTAACGACACCAGAAGCTCTATTTCCCCCAATTTTCTCTTTTATGAAATTACCATCTATTCCTTCAATCTCGAAATATCAAAAAATCCTACCCCACCACCATTGACCTACCCTCCTTCACGTATGACCTATCCATATTCTAGATGCCCTCCATACACAATAAATGCCAATCAACGCCTATTAATGCATGTCACCGAGCAAGCCTCGAGCTAAATTCCCAAAATGGAATCTGCCGTTAATCCTTAATTATATAAGCCTCAAATCACACTTCCAGCAATCGTCCGATAGTCCAAATCGGTCTCGGAGTCAATGTAGCTTATCGGATTCCGTCCGACTCTAACGGCAAGTGCCCGCGATGCTCCACTCGATTTCCTGCATACAGCCGCGCTTATCGCTAGATGCCTTTTTGGTTCTCCTCAGCCCTATATAAACCGCCATTTCCCCAGATTTTGCTTTGCACAACTTTTTGAGATGCCTCCCACGCAAACAGAAGTATTGAGCGACACAGCCTCCAAAGAATACGTTTTGGGCGAGCGCGGCTCCCACAACATCGCCAAGGGCTTGCCACATCCTTACCCTGTTCCACAGTTCAAGACCAAGGAGGATGAGAGAGCTTGGGCTAAACAGCATATGGCTGCTGCTTTCAGAGTGTTCGCCAGAAAGGGCTTCACCGAAGGCACGGCCGGTCACATTTCCTTGAGGGACCCTGTTGACCCCAACACGTTCTGGTTGAACCCTTTGGCCAAGCACTTTGCCTTGATCAAGGCCTCTGACTTGGTGCACATCGACGAGGAGGGCAATGTTTTGCCCGATGGCCCTCAGCATGCTGTGAACGCCGCTGGCTTTGCAATCCACGCCGCTGTTCACAAGTACAGACCAGATGTCCACGCAGCGTGCCACACTCACTCTGTCTACGGAAAGTCATACAGTGCCTTGGGCAGGCCCTTGGACATGATCAACCAGGACGTGTGCATGTTCTACAAGAGCCACGGTGTCTACACGGACTTTGGCGGAGTGGCGCTCGAAGAGCAAGAAGGAAATGATATCGCAGACGCCTTGGGCGACGGAAAAGGCATCATTTTGCAGAACCACGGCCTCCTCACGGTGGGCCAGACAGTCGACGAAGCAGCCTACTTGTTCTGTCTCATGGAGCGGAGCTGCCAGTGCCAGCTTTTGGCTGAGGCCGCCTTGAGACCAGGCGAGAAGTTGAAGATCATTGGCGACAAGGTCGCTGCGTACACGGAGCACATGACAGCAGACCCAGAAACGCTCTACACGGAGTTCCAGCCCGACTTTGAGATGGAGCTCAAGTACGACCGCGACTTCATGGATTGAGGGTAATGTATTGGACGAACTAATAGGAAATGGAAGAAATACAAATCACGTCATCAAGACGCTTTGCGCCGTCAAGGCGCTTTTGCTTCACGGACCTATGCCGAGATAATGTTGCTCGAGCTGCTGTACTTGGCCTGGGCAATGGAGATGGTGTGGTCGGTGAGGTCGTAGTAGACGTAGGCGCTTCTCAAGAAGACGTCTCCCAAGATGAAAGGACCCTCGCCAAAGTATCCCTCAGCGCCAATAGCACATTGTGGCTCGCTGTCGGAACCAACGTTGATGATAAGGTCGCTGTACGGAACAGAAACGGAGTTCTTGCCGAGATTGAAAGTGATGCTCTTGTCGGAAGGCTGGTTACAGTCGACGAGGTAGACACCCTGGTCCTCGCCGGTAGAACCAAGGGCACTGGCCACACTGTCAAGGAGCTGATCAGGCCACAAGTTCCAGGAAGTACCGGAATCAAAGACGAACTGCTGGCCCAACTGGATGGTTTTTCCTCCCACATCGGCAGACTCGACCGTCAAGCCCAAAAAGCTGTTGTCGGGAAGAGAGTACTTCTGCAATTCACCCTCGTACTTGTCGGTGTCGATACCGCCAAAAATGACAGTACCCTTACCTTCTTGTTCAGAACCCAAGAACAAAGAGTAAGAGGCCTTAGGAGTCACAGCGGCCTTCAGCAAAGCCCAGGGCAAGTTGTCGTACTGCGACAGGCCCGACTCCTGGTTCTTGTCGGCGATTCCCAAAATACCAGTGCTGTCTGCATTGGCCTGGTTCACCACAGCAAACTGGAAGTCCAGCACAAGCGTCAGACCCAGGCTGAAGGAGAAGTCGTCCTTGTAGTAGGAACCCAGGGCACTGGAGCCGTCCAAGTAGCTGATGTCGAAACCCTCGCCTGTGGAGGTGTCGTCTGAGGACTTGCTGGGGTCGAAGGTTCCACCTTGAGCACCGGAAACACCAGGACCGAAAACCCAGAGATCGGAAGAACCGGTGTCAAGAAGCACAGTCACCTTCTCCTGCTGCGAGCCCAAGTAGACGTCCAAAATGTACGAGATGTCCTTGTCGTCGGTGATGGCGACCGGGGTGGCTCTCTTGTGGAACTTGGACTTGGCGCTGTTGAAGTAGCGTTCAGGGTGGTACAAGGTGGAGTTCTTGCTGGTGTCCTTGACAACGTCAAAGTCGAGTTTCAAAGGCGAAGGGCCCCTTTTGGCAATGTCCTCGTGGCTGCCGTCCTGGTGAGGAATGGCCAAGCCAGAAACAAGAGACGTTGCGATGGTGAAGATGGTGAAGAAGGAAAGCATGAGAGGATGATGGAGATTTTGAAAAAGTCGGATTTGGTGCCTGTTTAAGTACACCGTTGGGGCTCCACTCGAGCGTACGGCAGCAGCCACATTTCGCTTGCAGCCGAACGGCCCAATACAAAAGCCCCAAACCTTCGATTCAACGGGCCAAAAAGGGGTCTTTGCGTTTAGAGGAACTGCGTCTGTGCCCCCTCGCCAGGCAATTCCACCCGGACAGGCGGATCCCCAATTTGCATCACCCTTCGATTGATAAATCAGCTTAAAATCCATATCCAATGGCTTAGTCTGTCCATTGGCTTAGTCTGGGGTCCATTGGCTTAGCATGTCCCGTCTCGCTTGTTGATCTAAACCGTTGCCAAGACAAGAGCGCATGCTTGACAGCTTCGTGCGTCAGGCATATCGAGGCGTACCTCAATTTCCTCATGCTCTACCGACGCACCAGGGTCGTGCAATCACAGCGATAAGATTTGCGCTCCACGAACGGCTCCAGATAAGACACAGTAAGCCTCGTCAACGCCACATCCGTGGGCTCCGGTGGCCGCAAAAAAACCGCAACCATGACTTTGTGACAACGGTGGTTCCGACTGGATGCAATTGGTGGATTCTGGTGGATGATAGTGGTTACAAGTCACGGTAGCCACACCGGGCCACAATTGACAACAATGGCCAATCCGGATCAATGCTTCATCTACACCACATCCAATTCATACGTATCATTACTTCCCTACTTTCTTCCAAATATCCGCTTGACAGAGTCAAGAATAATGTCCTTGTCGTCGGTGAAGGTCACCTTGGACTTGGCCCGCTCGGCGGCTCTGGAAGTGTCCTTACCTTCGTCAAGCAAGGCCTCATCGTCCAAGTTCTGAGAATCGACTAATCTGTGGTCTCTCAACAAGAGCACCCACACAAGCATGGGCACACAGAGACAAAGACCCGTGATGGAAAGCTTTCTTTGCACCTCGGCGTACGCCATGCTGATGGCTCTTCTGGGATCAGTTCCCCAGGTGTACTCTTTGATGAATTTGTAAGGCGATTGGTAGGCAGGTTTGGCCAACGAGGTATCCACACCCAATGCCGCCATGTGGTTGTAGATAGTTTCGTACATGTCCTGGGTCCAGATGGCGCCCGAAATGGCACTTCCGATGGCTGCACCAATCTGGTAGAAAGCTGCAAAAAGCGCCGTAACCGTAGCCATGTACTCGTGGTTGGTACAAGCTTGAACTGACACAGAGACGACTCTGTTGAAGAAGACCGAGGCAAAACCCATGATACACATACTGATGGCCACACCGTCACGGAAGTACTTGGCTCTGTAGCCGTCGTTGGATCCTCTGAAGTGGACAAAGAGGCCCATGGCGATGAACATGACGCAGTTACCGAAAATGACGAACATCTTGGTTCTTCTGACTCGCGACAAGACGTATCCGAGAATAGGCATGGCAATACCCTCGACGAAACCGTTCAATTGGCCTGTACGAGTGGCAACGGTTTCTGAAGCGTTCATACCAACAAACAACACAGGGTAGGAGTATCCGTTGGGTATACTTGTGATCAAAGTACTGAACACACCCACCAAGAAACCGGCCCAAATACCTCTGTTTTTCATCACTCTGAAAGGAAGCATGGGGTTCTTGGTGATTTTGATTTCCCAAACCACAAAAAGAGGAATGGCGCAGAAGCCAATCACCAAAGGCACGATTGTGGAAGCTCTGCGCCATTTCTCGCCGTTTCCACTGAGCGATGTGCCGCCTGCCAACGTCAACGGAACGAGAATAAGTCCGAAAATCACCGCAATCAAAAGACAGCCAATGAAATCAACTCTCCAGAAGATATCGTACAAGGCTTCCACAGTACGGACGCCCGAGTACTTAATGTGGCCCACGGCTCTGCCAGTAAAAGTTGTGCTGGCGTTGATCTCGTCATCGTATCTCTTTGCATCGGCATGCTTGGCATTGAAATCCTCTCTCTGTTCACGCTTGATTTGCTTCCATGCATCGGTTCTGGATGCTTTAAACAGCAAGCCGAGCAAAAACAAGAGGTAGGGCACACACACAAGCGGCGTGGTGAAGGCCCACATGGCAATGCCGAATTTCCAGTCGTGGTTCTTCAAAAGCGAATCCACAACTTCACCACTGGACCAGGTGGTGATGATAGATGTCATACTGAGTACACCGATAGCAGCGAGTCTCCATTTCAAAGTGGAGGCATCCGATAAGTTGATCTGCCACAAAATACGCATACCAGCAACGCCAAAGCCGTATAAGACAACGCCTGCTGCGTACTTCTGTACATCTGTGGCCTGAGACTGAATGATGATACCCACGATTCTGAAAACGATGGCCACGACGAACAACTCAAATCTGCCAAAAGTATCAGACATTCTAGCATAGAAAGGCAACGAAGCCGCAGCCACCACGCCTCTGATAATACCGATAGTCGACATAAGCGAGTGCTGAGCGTACGAGTCAGTGGCATAACCGGTGAACACTCTGATTGCGTTACTCTCCATCAGGGCAATGTACATGCCGATGAAGATGCTGAGGAAGAAAAAACCCTTGAGCCACCAGGTGTTCAACTGGGCCATGACGAGCTCTGAACGACGAACTCCAAAGGACTTTTCAGCAAGACTAGACTGCTCACTGTGAGTAGACTCATTAGTCGAAGCTCTCTTCAAGTCGTGGGAGTCCAGGTGGAACCGGGTGTCCTGCGACGCCTCCTTGTTAAGGTTTTCGTTTTGGGCCATGATGAGGAATCAGGAAGCGAGTGGATGCCCATTTATACCTAGCGAAGACCCTTAGGATCATTTTGTCACAATAAGAGATGTCTGTGTCCTGCGCAGATGATGCTGCAGCTGCAGCCTCCAACCGTATTTTTCAGCTGGCCAATGTCACACTACAAAAGGTGTTGCTTAAAATGTGATTCGCGGAATGCTCAAAAACACTGTCTGTTGTACTTTGCATCTAATTTTCGTCGTTTTCGCTGGTTCTGGCGCCTTGGTGGAGCCTTATCTGATGCGATCAGTGGAGGTTCCTAGTCTAGAGGCTGCGCGCCAAGAATCGATTGATGCACAATGGACATGGCCCACCAATGAACGGTAAAAGGCGGTTTCAGTTCTGCATTGGAAGATGCCGTCAACTTTTCGATCTTGATTCTTCAGTGGGACCCTACGCATGCCACGTAGGGGTCCACCCCAGCAATATGGGTAGCACCAGAACCGTCATGACGAGGAGAAGACGGTGAAACAATCGTTTCTTAAAACTTCCGCTGCTTTTGACCCAAAATTCCAGCTTTACTAAATCTCTCGACGGAGAAACGGAGTGGTCGGGGATGATGCAAGGCCTTTCTCCTGTGCTTGCCAATGGCATATTAATCAACCTCGTCTGGCCAATGACAGCACTACGGGCACTCCCTGCCGGGTTTAGAGGTGTCACTGACACATTGACAGGTGTCAAGCGGATTGCCCAATGTGGGAGGTGGTCACAGCGGGATTTCCGTGGATGGAGTTCCAGAGTGGGGGGCCTCGGCCGATTGCGGTTTACTTCTATTGAAAAGAGCTCAAATTTAGTCTAGACGGATTTCTGCCACTTTCTGGGCTGGACTGTAGATGCTGTTTTCTTGGGCGTACGGGCGACTCGCTTGAGGTGCAAGGCTGCAATGGGGGCTTGGGCATTCACCGTTTACGACCGTTCACGACCGTTTACATGAAATATGTAGCATTTGTTTCCCTTTAGAGGCTTTACTTTGTAGAGAATCTTTTCAGCTTGGAAGATCTGACATGGTTAGAAGAGGTGCCTCGGCTGCAAGATGCCAAGATCCCGATGCAAGAGGAGCTTTTTGATCGGATGCCAAGCCAAGCATTCTCGTCTCGGAGCATTCACATGTGGTGACTCTTTGCCGTTTTTTTGGCTATGGTGGAATTGTAGGGAACCAGGAAGTTCAGGTAGGTTGATCTTGGTTTTGTATCACGCCGATATACGGTCCAGGTATGGTTATGAGGCGTTGCGTTATTTCAAGGCGGGGTTTTTTGCGGCAATTAGCGGCATGCAATTTCTGGCTAGCCGTTATTTGACAATGAGCGTGACAGCCAATTTGATGGAATGAAGAGGGCCTTGACTAGCTGGAGGTGCTGTATAAGACATTCGCAGCCAGACCGTACGGCGCTATCATTCTGCTATGTACGGCTGAGCGCCCAGGATCAAGGAGTGTTTGCAACCAGGAGATGGAGTTTTGAAATGGGGATCAGTTTTCAGAACTTCCTTTCTACATCTTTTGAATTTGTGAAAGAAGGCGGTCCAATATTTCTGTTCCTGGGGGCATTGGGATGGTGTAGTGTTGGTATATACAGTCCTCTGGCCTTGTTAAAGCGAAGAAGCAAATTGGCGTCCCTTAACAGCGGTGTTAGTGAGTTTTGGGGCAAAGGATGGAAAGCTGTTTGCTCAAAGAGTCTGAACTTGTGGAAAGTCGTGTTTTTCCTGCTTTTTCCAAATTTTGACATAAAGTTTTTAATTCTCACTAATTAGGTATCTCTGGCATAAAATTACAAACCAGCAAACTTTATCCAGATTCCAAGAACACAAAAATTGGGATTCTAAATAAAATGATGGGTTTGAAGAAAATTTTAAGGAGACAACGGGAAACAACGTTGCATAGAGGGTTTCCAATTCGATCTATGCCTTTATGGTGATCATTTGCCAGAATTTGCTTACTTGAGCCATGCCCTACTCAACAAGGGTGCCGTGATTTTCTCTCAAAAAATCTCAGTTATATTCAAGATGGATACATGAACTGCAAAAAAAGATGATTCAGTTTGTCAGTTTGGCGATAAACCTCCTGCTAAACGAATTACATAAGTCGGCTACCCAAAAGAAGAAAACGATTAAAGCTATACCAAACTTTATCAGTCAACATAGACCCCATCACACTTCATCCCAACACCAGAAGACGGCTGACGTTCCGAATGTGTCATGTCCAGATAACCGAGTTTCTTAAACCCAACTCAATAGCTTAAAGTTTGCAATATGTAAGACCAGATCCATGAAGATCTCCCAGAAGTTTGTCTATTGATTGCTGCACATCCAGCTACATTACCCCAAATCTAAGACACCTTCACCTCCAAAGCCTCTCAGCAGAAAATCCCACAAAAAGCCCTGCTGCCTGTGCAATCATTTCACCATACTACATTATCAGATGCGATCGTGCGTCTAGAACCCAAACCGGTGATCTTCTTTCGAACAATGCTGCATTGAAAACGCTGAAGATCGACATTTCCTCCAACCTTCTCTTCACCAGTTGGCACAAAAAATCCAAAGTTCCGAAAAGCAGCAACTCATGCTTGCCACGGTGCCCCTGGCATAAACGTTAACCAGCCGCTGCACATCCACAGTACAGGCACCACAGTCGTATAACCCTACTTCCAGCCACATAAAAGCCCATAACAAATTGTTAAAGCCCATAGCAAATCGCCTACAATAGATTGAAAATTAATGTATTGAAGCTAAATTAAGATCAAGAACGGGAAAGTCTCCATGCCACGCTGCAGGCGGCTAAGAGTGAACCGCTTAGATCAACAAAGCAGCAACACCGGCGAAGCCAGCGACACCGGCAGCAACACCCAAGTTACCGGCAGCACCCTCGTAAGAGGAGACAACGGCAGACTCAGCAGCAGCAGTAGACTCAGCAGCAGCGGTGGTCTCCTCAGCAGCCTCGGAGGTCTCAACAGCAGCAGAGGTCTCGGCAGCCTCAGTAGACTCGACAGCCTCAGCCTCAGAGGTGGCCTCGGCCTCGGTCTCAGCAGAGGAGTAGTAACCAGTGGACCAGATGGTCTTGGTGTAGGTGTTGGTACCCTTGGTACCGGTGATGACCTTGTAGGTGATGAAAGCACCGGCTGGGGTGGAGAGGTCCTCAGGGTCGGTGATGGTCTCGACGTAGGTGGCACCGTCGTTGGTGACGGTAACGTATCTCAAGGCAGAGACGGCGGAAGCGGCCATGGAGGCGAGGAGGACGGTAGAGAACTGCATTATTGAACGAGTGTGTGTGATGAGGAAAAATACAAAAGCTGAGGGGGGAAGCCCGTCTTATATATTGTTGACGCAAGCCCCCAGGGCCGTGCATCGGGCTTGAGCGATGAAATAGATAAATCCCCAGATTGGCTATAGGTGTGTGAGGAAGGGTAAACCAGCGATCCGGCGTCGGAACGCATCCGAGCGCCTTCCGCTGCAGAACGAGTTGCTGCAGAGGCTTTGTGCATAGCGCCCCTAGACCCTGGGGGGCCTTAAAAAGAGGCTATAAATGCTTCCCAAGGCTGCTTTTCACCTTCTACTCTTTCAAATCCTTAGTTTTTTGTCTCCTTGACTTGGTCTTCACAAGCTGTCAAACGCTCGGAAGCGCGGGCCGGGTCCCGAGACGTGCCAAGCTTTTTCAGAGCGCCTCACCAAAGCCCGCCATACATGCAGCTAGTCCGTCTGAAATGGGCCTTTTTGGGGAACGCAATTGCCCTTTCGTCTACATAATAAAAATTGGCCCCTCGTAACGAGATCCACACTTTTTCACATTCTTGGCACCTTTGTTCGGTTCCCAAGCTGACAGCATGCTTGAGCCGCCCCGGATGTCACATTGTGTTGCAAATTGTCACCTCGCATTGTCATTTTCATGTCATACAATCCTCTACTGCTCTGGACCTCACCTTGTGGGAAAATGCCGCTTTACTCACTATACACTGAAACTCTCTGCGGCAAACTCTACATTGTTGTGGTGGCACCACCCCCCACAGTCAGCCAATAGCGTTTCTGGACCGCATGCAACCACAATGCTGCTTTCCTCTTCGGTACCTTCATGGAACTCTCCGAGGAGGCTTGCTACATCCGGACGTCCCATCTGGACCTCCACAGCAACTCCGTTATCGGCCACACTTGCTTTGGACGCTTCCGCTTCGAGCATTGGCTCCTGGAGGTCTTCCATTTGGTAGTACTGCGTTTCGGAGGGTTGTTTCCTGAAACGTTGGACGGCGGCTTTGATCCGAGAAATTAGTGTAGGCTGCTTGACAGGCTCGCTACTTCCCGTGACATGTATATCAATCTTGGCGTCTCTGTAGTCTGGAGTGGGCTCCAAGGAGTCAGAATCGGGATCTTCATGGTACCCAAAGATTCCGGCCTCTTGCAAAACAAACAAATCCTCTTTTCTTCTGACAATGATGCAGAAACGCACGTTTGGCGTTTTGACGAGCTCCTCGTCGCCCTTTCGGTTACGCTGGTGGAAGTACTTGAACAACGGTATACCGAATGCAAGCCCCGAGCCTCCACAGACAATGGTGATGTTGTCGTTTAGATTTCTAGAAAAAAAGAAATCGTCAAACGCCGGGAACGGCAGCGAAACGGTGTAACAAAAGTACCGTTGAGACGCTAAATGCTGTGCAAAGCGGGTGCTCTTTTTGATCACCAAATCCACATACTCCTCGTGGTCCAAGGATGCAATTGTGTACGGATGGGTTGCAAAAAGCCAGGATTTGGGATTCAACAAGGACGGGCTGATTCTGACATGCGAGTCTGGCAGAAAGTATGTAAGCATTGAACCGTCCTGCTCTTTTTTGAATTTCATGGATGCCTTCACCACCTTTTCACGGGGGATTCTGACCAAAAGCAAATTGCTATCAGGCACAGATGTCGTGTAGTAGCTGTTGCTTTCGTCGATCTTGTCCCTGATGTTATAACTGAGGAATACCTTGGCTGCGGTGTGGTAAATCAACAAGTACAAACTGCCAAAAATGTACAAGTTGGCCTCGGGCATGCTATGGAGGTACATGAGAGGAAGCGTTGCCCAGGCTGTGATGATGTGCAAAGCGTAGAAGAGCTTGTAAAAGCGCTCTCTGATGCCTTTGATGCCGAGTATGAGGACGATAAATAGGAGGAAGAAGTTGACGACTCCGGGAAACATCAACTTATCGAAGGTTTTGTGAAGCTCATTCTTGTGGATCCAGAAGCCGAAAAAGCCAAGTGCATGGAGCGAAATCGAGGCTATCAGGATTCTGGAGATCCACTTGTGCAATGGGATTAAATGCATGTACAAGACATTAGGCAATGGATTGGGCTTCAAGGAGAGGAAGATGATAAGCGGGTACAACGAAAGCCCAAGACGCCCTGCTCTTTTCAACATGCCCAAGCCGATCTTGAAGTGGATGTAATCTGGGGTTTCCTTGATGCCCAGGTACCATGGAATGAACAAAAGGAGAGCCATGAATACCAGCCACACCACGACCAGAAGCCACAAAGGAAAGTAGACCAACCGTCTAAGGACCCTAGTGAAAATACGATCCGTCTTATTGGCTTGAGGCAGAAGTCTAACCTTAAGACATGCCAGTACACCTATCGTCACCACATTCGCACACGATAAGGCAAACACCATATAGCCATACTTCTTGTTGATATTAGCCCAAGGGGAGTCTGCCCCATCACCGTCCCAGCGCTTATCTAAAAGACCGCCATCGGCCACCTCGAGCCTGGTAAGCTCCTCCACAGCTCTTTGGACGTTCATGAATGGTTGCAAAACGAGCAATGCGGGTTGCAGCAAATTATACCATTTTATCGAAACCCATCACCTTTTCTTGACCCCGCTGCCCAATTACAGAAGCTCCATTATGCCTTGGCCTTGTCCTTTATGGTGCCACGGTCCGAGGGTGTCTGATGGATCAGATAGAACCGGGACTTTGGGCGTCTTAGCCCACATGAGAGAGTGCAGCTGCATGTCGACGCATGCGGGCCAAAAGAGCCTAGGAAAAATTTGCACCTGTGGTTGCGGGGGGTCTATTGGGGGTCTGTTGTGTATTTCAGATTTTCAGGCAAACCCAAAAAAGGGCGTCAAAATGTGTGAGATCTTGTCGATCCGACCGGTCCGAGCCCACGTCGTTTACGAATATGCAGAAGGCAGGAATAGGCGGGTGGAGCCACTTTCTCTATCAAAGGCCCTCCGGAATTAGGAGAATACAAAATATCTTAGTCAGTGTGAGTCAATTGCGCTGATCGGCTTAGGCCGGCTTAGTTAGCCGCTGCTACAACCACACGGCTATACGGTAAAAGCCCTGGGCTTATCAGATCCATCTCGCGATGCCCTACAGCTAGTTATATCCAGATACAAGTCAATTAAAGCACTAGGCCTATGTACTTACAAAAGCAAAGCAACGGCAGCAGCAGCAACACCACCCACAGCGACAACGGTACCAGCAGCGCCGTCGGAAGAGGAAGAGCTGTTAGCAGACTCAACCAGAGAAGCCTCAGAAGAAGCAGACTCAATGGCAGAGCTGTTTGGCACAGTCGAGGAAAGAGTCTTGGTGTAGGTAGCGGACTCCTGCTCAACAGTCAAGTGTGTGGTGGAAACAGACTCCAAACCGTAGGTGTTGGTGGCAGTCTTGGTGTAGGTGGCGTCGTCGCCCTCAATGACAATGGTGGTGGTGTAGGTACCGGAGGTTGGGGTGGTGGTAGCCTGACCGGTCAACTTCTCAGTTCTGGTCTTGGTGTAAGTGGCACCGTTAGCAGTGACAGCGACGGTGACAGTACGGGAAGAGTCAGCAGCGGCGGCAAGAGCAGCGAAACCGAGGGGAAGGATAGCAGAGAACTTCATGGTGATGGATGCAAAAAAAAGAAGAAGAAGAGGCAAGCCACCGGCGGAAGGACGACGCTTATATATTTTTCCAGACCTCCTTCGGCGTTCCCCCCCAAAGCCACTCATCCCATGCTGCTGCATTAGCTTTCCCTTTCTGGATCAATGATTGTGCTGACAGCAGCCAGACACTTTTGATATTTCATGCGGTCCGACACATCCGACCCGGGCCGGCTGTTGTACCTCAGTAATTCAATGCACCTCTTGCACCTCACGTACAGGTGCGGGAATTCGGCATGCGAGTCAGAACAGCCGTTACGCTTAAGAGCCTCTTCTAAGCGATGCAAAATTTTTCTTGGAGATCGATATGCCTTGATATCTGGCCAATATGCTTGGCACGAAATGTCACCTTGCTTGTTCCGAGACAGGTACGTTAGATTACGTGCATGATGTCGGATCATGGCTCTAATCCTCATCCCTGTCTTCCAGAATCCCACCCTATTGCCGTACCCATTAATCCCGGCAGGCATGTGGTAAAAGCATCTATGCAGCGCCTTTGTGCTGCTTAGAGGCAAGTCTGATCAATCAGATTATGCATTGGCACCCGGAAGCCACTCCTTTGCGGCTAGACGCCCCATTCCATTGGCTCACTATTTTTTTCATCTCCGTACTCTGGCGGTGGATTTCCGTATCCGTCCGGTCTGTTAAGTTCAACGTCTTCCAGCTTCTGTAAAATAATTGGGCCGACTGCCTTGAGGACGACCTCATTGGTTATGTCCTCGGATGATGCCACTCCGAGAGCCACTTGAAGCTCGAAATCTCGCTTAACATTGCAAGTGATGAATGATTGCCCCACGTCGGTTACGTCACAGTCGTACCACAGGGGGTCCAATTCGAACTTGAACATGCCCTTGACTCCAGAGCGAGCATTGTCCTCGGCGGGTTCAAAGTCGGAAAGGCTGATCTCGTTATCAAGAGCTTTATCCAAAAGCACATATTTATTTGTTCTCCGAGAGTGCTTGACGGCATAGTAGCGGACTCGCAGGATAAGCTTGATTTTGATGCTCGAGATGCGAAGCGTCAATCTTCCATTCTCCCCCTCCTTCTTGGATTCCCTTGATTGACCAATGCTTGGTGTCCAGAGAGAAACCAGAATGAAGTCGGATATGTGTCCGTTTGTTTTCACAACTCGCTTTGATGGCCCCACGGGTGTTTCAACTCCCTCCTTGAACTCCACATCAAGACTCAAAGGCACGATGGTTCCCTCAGACAGGAAGAGTCTGTTGAAGAAACCATCCTCCTTCAATTTGCCATCTGAGGCATATTTGAGTTTCTTCTCGCATATTTCGTAGTCCTCCAATATGCTCTTCTTATCCATGATGTGGTTGACCGAGTACGTCATGTCCTGATTCGCAGGATGAAACATCAAGTCTTTGGTGGCTTTGCTATTGAACCTGAAAATTGAAGGGTTTCTCACCACAGCCTCAAGGTAGTATTCAATTTTGCAGTAATTGTCGAAAGAAGTCTTGTTGAAGTACGTTGGTGCCAAGGCCACACTATCAAGATGCTCCTTTTTCGTGTATCCGTGGCTGTGGAAGAACTTCTTGTCCACTTTGCAATCCGCCTTGTGTTCCTTTCCAGGAAATGTGAAAGTGAAGTTGTAGCTATAAGAACCCTCTGTCAATGTGTACGATTCGGTCTTCGAAACGGCCTGAATATCAGGTGGAGGAAATAGCGTAGTTTCCTCCTTGAAAAGCAAATGCTTCTCCTGTTTTGTTACATAGCCTTGACCTGAATGAACCTTGTTCCTGGATTTCGAGTAACCGAATAAAGTGACGTCAATGGCAGATAGATCGACCTTCTCATCCACGGCTAGATGCACTCTTCCAGAGACAATGTCACCACTTGTGTACACCTTTTGGTGGTCAAGCTCAATTGTGAATTCTGTCATTCAATTGAACGGCTGAGTTTTCTAATTTTGGGGAAATACTCTCAGTGAGTTCCTGTAGCACATGCGTGGATGACTTTTATATGCAAATCTGATGGACCCTTGATAGGCATCAGAGATCAATGCTTATGCAATGCAGGTAATAAATAGGATAATCAATTCGAAACGCGTGGTTCGTAAAACGGGCTTTCTGAAGATTCAGAAGATCTGAAACGGATACTTGAGGACAAACTTCGAGCCAAAACTCAATTCCACGTAGTGCATTAGTTTGAAGCAGCCTCAGGGATATCGCCCAAATAAGCCACCACCTGAAATAAAAGATCATCCTTCGAGGCGCCCTTGTCATTCAAGATTGCAATTGCCTTGCTGACGTAGGATTTGAGAAGCTCGTAGGTTTGCTTCAATGCTGTGGTATCGGTCTTCAATGACAGCACGGCATCTGCCAAAGCATCTTTAGCACCTAGTCTCTCTTTGGCCAGAAAGTCAAAAAGAAAGCTCTGAAGAGCCGATTCTCTGGGCGCCTCTCTTAATGCGTAGAGTATAGGTAACGAGAGCTTGCCCTCTACCAAGTCCTCACCTACCACACCCTTCATCTTGTGGTACCTGTCGTCCACCAAGTTCATGTAGTCGTCACGAATCTGGTAGATGATACCTAGCAAATTGGCAAAAGGCACCAACTTGGCAGCATCCACGGTATCGTCTGCGAAAAGAGCCAAAAGCTTTACAGCCAAGCGGAACAAACCGCCTGTTTTGTTCATCACCATAAGCTGGTACTCTTTATCCGACGGAAGGTCTGCTTCTCCCTTTCTCCACTGACCTAGAAGCGTGTCTCTCCAGAATATATCGAGACCTTGGCCATGATGCAAGTTGAGCATTTCTTCCACGAGAATCTTGTTCGTCCGGGTCAGAAGCTCATCAGAGTCAATCGTGGATCCCTCCATGAGCCCCGGAAGCACATTTGTAGCTCGGTGGAGCGCCTCAAAGTACATGAGGTTTCCACAGTTGATGGTCAATGGCGTGCCATACTTGATATGGGCGCTTTCCTGGCCTCTCCGTGTGTCCGAGGCGTCTTCAATGTCGTCTATAAGCAACGACAGGTCGTGAAAGATCGAGATAATCGTGCCGATCTCCTCGAGAACCGCCTTATTGTGGATCTTGAAGAACATCTCGTTGAAGGCGATGATGAAACGGTACCGCATGTTCTGGTTGTTGCCGGGAATGCTGGAGATGTAGTTGTACGGCTCTTTCAAGACGTCCGGAACCGGCCCCGTGTCCGTCTTGTTTATAAGCTCGTCTATGCTGAAGTTCATGATGGTAGTTATAGATGCGCGACCATTGATCACCATATATCTCCAACTGGGTAGTACCATCTGACCTACACCGAAAAAAAAGCTAAAACACAGCGCCATGGACATCGCCAATGTTTTTGCAATACCGCCTGTCACCAGAGTGTGGATCGGCTCCATTGTGGTGATTTCCTCGGCGTGTAGCTTGAATCTTTTGAACCCCATGAAACTCCACTATCTTCCAGGAATGTGGCCACGCTTGTTCACCACCTTCAGCACATGGGGCAACCTCAGCTTCGTGCTACTAATCCAGCTATTGTACTTGAGATCCACATGTGGCGGTCTCGAGCGGCCGTATCAGATCGAAATCGGCATGTTTCCACGAAGTGTGGCACGTCTGTTGGACGACCGTAAACGTGCCCTTTTGAAGCAAAAATTAGAAGCTTACAAATCACTAGACTTTGCATGGTTTCTCGGCCAGATTGCCGTTTCTGCCGTGGTGGCATTCCATCTTCAGCAGAACTTCACCGGAAACTACACCGTCACCTACTGGGCTATGGGGCATGTGCTAGATAACATCCTCTTGTACATTTCCGGCAAGCTCTCGCCGAACGAGGGCTTCACGCTATTTATTCTCATCATAAAAAAGCGCTACGCTTTCTGGGCATACGGATTGGCCAGCTACTTGTTCACAGACGAGTTCCTGCTAATCCCACAGATCTACGCTCAGTTTGGCTTGAAATTGACCATAGAGCACATTATCACGGGTCCGTTCCTCTGGTGCACGATATTCAAGATGCTAATTGGCCATTTCTGGTGGTTTGTGAGGTTCTACTTGCTCGCAGACATCTACAACGAGATCAAGACCGAGAGTCGTGAGGCGTGGCTGGCTGCGTTTGACCCCTACGAGACACGCGATCCGTTGAAGGAGAAATTGCAATACTTTGTGAGCGACGTGTTGCGTTTCATCGTTCTTCCGCCTTGGTACGCCTTCATTGTGCCCAAGCTCGTCAACGAGGAGTAGCGGGGTCGCAGAGAATGGTCATTTGTGTGGATTGTCTACTTTATTGACTACGTATTGTGTTGGAGATGCCTAGAAGAGACCATGACGTGTTTCAGGTCGAGGTTCGGTCCCTGACAAGACGGATCGAATCGGTGAGACCGTCTTTGATAGAGAGCGTGACAGCGGAACGAATTCTGATCGAATCATCAAAATGCTCACCTAGAGACACCATCAGTGCCTTTTGCAGCCAAGATACCTAGGATCTCTCGAATTTCCACTTTTCGACATTCCGTTCTGGTACACCGAAATCCGCCGGCCATACTTCGGCTAAACCCGCCAACTGCCAAAACTCGCCAAACGCTTACTTTTCTTGTACCTCTTTACCGCGTTATGTTCCGCCTACATCCTACGAAATCCGCTCTTGTTCCATCTTAAGGGATGTCCTTGTCAGTGGAGGCGAAGCAAGAGGGGGAGCCAATAGTGAAACGAGGTGGAAAAAAATATTTTACCCGGTGGTTCCACAAAGAGAACAATGAACTCACCCGAAAGTTCGCAACATCGTATAATCTTCGAAGCCGGAACCTTCTATGTATGGAGATGCCGCCTCGGTCTCGCTCACGCATTTACCGTCTGCGTGCCGTGACACCCGGCACCATAAACGAGGAACCCACGTTCTTCGGAAATCGACGGAATTTTTTGAGCTTGAAAGAATTTTCAAAAACAAAACCGTTGGACTTTCCACACCGCCCGAATCTATTTCAACAGTATTTCCCCTTTTGGCGCCTTCGCCCACCTGACCGTGCCTATATCGGCTATGCTGTGGCTGCGAATCATCAATGGCTGCAAACAAGCAAGCCGAGTCAAAAGTGGCCACACGAGTAAAAGTCACGGCAAATTATGAACAGCATCAAAATCACCAGGCCTGAAATCCACCAAATCTATGATCTCAGCAAAATCCCCTGTTTCCGGACGTATATCACCTTATCACCTCTGGCGTGTTTCTCACCGTAGCGAATCACCTAAAAGACCCACACTAACCCACCACAGGAGCTCCAAATATAAAATCGAACATCACCATCGTCTTGGTCACGTTCTCCACGTCAGATTCATATAAAAAAATTCACCTCCTTCGCCCCACACGCCCTCCTGGCACACAAGTACCGAAAAGCCCGACCTGCACTCTACAGGGTCTATCAACCCCTACCACTTCTCTTTCTTCCACAACCATGTCCGTGCTTTCTGCCATCCTGCAAGAAGTACACGAGTCCGTGTCTGGCGGGATCCATCCGGCGGTGCTGGCCTTGGTGGATGCTTTTGTTGCTTATCTTAAGGAACCAAGGTACCTGAACCCTTTGGGACTTAATGAGTTGGGGCTGCTATTCGCCAACTTTTGGGCTGACCTCAACCTGTTGGTGATCTACATTTACACACAGCTGAATCTGAACAAAAGACAGCTTTTGGCGAATCTGAAGATGTTCCAGAATGACCCGAAAACCTTTGACTACTTGGTGGCCTTGGCTAACTACTCCCCTCTGTCTATCAAGAGGGTGCGTCGTACCGATCCACACGCCTTGTTTCAGCTCCGTGTCTTTGCATACTACAAGTTCATCACGATTGTCGACTCGATCGAGAAAGCACAGTACGATCTCTTCAACTCGAGCAGCCCAGGCGATAAGCTGACCTTGTTCGATAAGATCTTCCGCTTTGACGAGAAGGATATAAGGGCGCAGCAGCTCTGGACGGAGAAGATAAGGCTTCTTCGGAACTTGAACCTCCCCTTGAGCTCCTTCTGTGAATCCAAGAACAAGGAAGAGTCGGCTCGCTTGGACGAGTTCTTTCTCACCCTAGACGCCACGGAAAGCGCCACCTTGCACGACATCAAGAAGAACTTCAAGCTCCTCAACCTCGTCAAGACTCCAGCCACTAAGCTCAAGTACTTGGTGAAAACCCAGAAGTTGCTTGTGCGCCTCTTGTCCAGCTTCTACAACGACCTGTCCAAGGTGAACAACGACATCTTGCTCCCCTCACTCATCTACGTTATCATATACCACCTCCCAGAAGACGTGCCAGAGGTTCCCGAAATCGACTCACCTCCAGAATCCTACGACCTTTACCTCAACCTCACCTTCATCAAGAACTTCTTGAACGTGATCGACGCGTACAAGGTCGATGTCAACACCTTCACGCTCAACACGTCCTTGAGTTCTTACAAGCCAACAGGAAAGAAACGCCCGTTTGCCAGAGGAGAGCGCAGAAACTCCAACTCCAACCTTTACGACCTCATTAACCTCAAGGAAACCAGTGACGAGTTGTTAGAGGACGACTCCGATCCCATCTATACCACCAAGGAGCTTCAGTCAGACAAAGATTTGATAGAACACATACAGAAGAGCTTCTTGAACCACGGCGAGTTGCAGTACTACCTCACCAACTTCGAGGCGGTTATCTACTTCTTGCTGAACTCCGTCCTCGAGGAGATCGTACCCGAAGGCTTCTCGATTCCAGAATCTTTCAAAGATAACGAGTTAGTCAACAAGCCCTTGCATAAGATCCTTGATGATGAGACCAGCCCTGTCCCTGCCATCGTCAAAACTGAGGTAAACGAGGAGCAACTCGCCAAGACCTTGGACGAGGAGCTCGACATCAACAGACTGCGCTCTGGTTCGCTTTTCAACACGATTACCAGCGCAGTTCAGTCGTCGGTAAACCGCTCCCGCTCAAACTCTGGAGCCATCAAGAGCAAAGAGACAGGAGTTATTCAGAATGATTTCGAATCGTCCATTTATGGCGCACCTTTTGCCAACGGAGAAGCATACGGTTTCGGTCGCATGAGAAACATTCTAGGGAAGCTCGGCTCTTCTGCGATACAATTCCGTCAGGGCTTGGAAGATGAGTTGAATCAGAACCTCGGTGGATCCGACACTCAACTCAATGAGACCAGGCAAAAGCGTGCCAGCACACTTTTAGACAAGATCTCGCCCAACCAGTCCAGAACAAGATCAGAGTCTCTTGACACTGGTGCATCATCCACTATCAATACCCATTCACGCAAGCCTACCTTCTCACTGAAGTTCTCATCTGCAGCATCAGAATTCATGACGAAGTTCAGTGCAGCTGCAAACAACCCATCTGGCACCGTGCAGCCAAACCAAGGTCACGCGTCCAATCTTTCATTGCATTCTTTTGAAGATTCACCATTTCAGGAGCCTAGACCAGCTATTGGTGAGCGTTCAGCTAGTCTCCATACCATGGATAGGTGGTTTAACAACTTTACCAATGAAGAGGGTACCTCCAACAACAACAACCTGAATCACCAATCATCAAGCAGTGCAGCAAGCAATGCTTTCACCAACAACGAAGACTCCTTGTTTAGTTCATCAGCTGAGGAGTTGACCAAGTTTCAGCATACCGATTTTGACTCATTGACCATACAGGATCTCAAACTCATGAAGAATTATTATGACCAACTTTGTCAGGAGTATATCGCATCCAAGACGGATTCTAAGACCAGCAACGAATACCTTCCTTTGGACGCCAAAGAGGAAACTTTGTGAGGTTCGTGATTTCGCAGCCATTCGGGGTTTCCTGCACACGCCGCGAGGGTTCCAGAAGAATCCGAGATAACGCTATTTAAGTGTGGAGTTTCCGTGCTCATCTCAGACATCCGGCAGAAACATGGCTAGTGTCATGCCACCAACACAGCCTATATTTGGAAAACGACGGGCTCGAGATGATATAGAGCCAGGCAATAAGCGGGTCAGACTAGACCGCTTGCTTTCAAAACTCAGCATTGACGAGCAACCCAAAACGATAGAGCCAGATTTAGAGATCAACCCCTTACTCGATTTCACAGATGAAGAAAGCAAGCCCAAAAGCTCAATTGACTCGTATATCAGTGAAAGGTTGATGGCCAGCATGCAAGCAAGGGCAGAGGAAGGTCTAGCCGTTGGGCGCTGGTATATTCCAGCCGGGATCGTGATCTTGCACTTCCAGCGTTGGGTCAAGCGGCTTTTCAACAGATTTGTGAGACGATACAATGCCACTCATCCTGATCGAGCGCCGGTCCGCACGTTTAGAAGCTACAGCAAGATTGTGAAGTTCGTTTACTCCGAAGTCAACTTCAGTCTAGACGACCTACGGCAGGTTGTCATGGAGGAAAACTACCGGGAGCAACGGGAGCTCACGCTGCGCAGGAACGCTCGTGAGAATAAACGGTACATTGAGGAGATCACAGAGGAAGAGAGCATTGCAGCGGAGTCGCTGTACACATACTGGGACCGGTTCGCCGAAGCCAGTGGTGATATCGAGATGGAAATGGGGTCCAGTCTGGATCTGGACATGATGGACATATAAGGTTTTGCATAGGAAGTTATAGACCTAGGAGCCAGCGCGTAGCCATATGAGTAGTGCGGGCAGCCATGGAGTAGTTAGTGTAGACACCCGTACCTCCCGAGCATGGATGAAAATCTACGAAAAAACACTAGGAAGGGTACTGCTCCACTCCAAAAAGCAAAATGTCTATGGAACAGGAGCGGGACGTTCTTCCGAAAGAGGAAAACGAAATCCGTACACATGCTTCCGACGACAATTCGTCAGAGGAAGGTGACGATGTGATGGACGATTCTTCTGAAGAAGACGAGGACGACAACGACGAGGAAGCCATCCAGAAAGTCAGAGAAGGTTTCATCGTTGACGATGACGAGGACGATGACTTGTCCCTGAGAAAGAAACGCAGAAAGCACAAGCGTAAGAGAGAGAAGGAGAGAGTCTCGGAACCAAACGATGCTTTAGACGATGACGACTTGGAGCTTTTAAGAGAGAACCTGGGAGCTGCGCCCCTGAAACCTTCACAAAACAAGTTTAAAAGGCTCAAAAGAGCGGCTCCTGAGGAGGATGACGAAGAATCCGCAGAGGTCCCTCAACAAGGCAAACAAGGCCGTCTCACTGACTTCTTCTCTGATGACGAAGGAGAAGGTGAGGATGCTGGAGGTGAAGACGAAGACCGTGGTGGCGACCAGGGCAACATTCTAGACGAATTTGAGGACTTCATTGAGGAGGACGAGTTCTCTGACGAGGAGGAGGCCAAAGCACACAAGTTGCAGCAGCAGCGAGAAAGAGCCAAGCGGAAGGGCCCCAAGTTGGACACATCCAAGCTTTCTAGTGTTGACAGAGAGAGTCTACAGCAGCTTTTCGAGGTTTTCGGTAACGGTGCCGACTACGATTGGGCCTTGGAGGCTCAGGACCTCGAGGAAGAGGGCAACAACGAGCTAGAGCCTACGGCGCTTGACGAGGTGTTCGAGCACTCGGAGTTGAAGGATAGAATGCTTACAGAAGAGGATAACTTGATTCGTATCATCGACGTTCCCGAGCGTTTCCAGAAGTACAGAGCCAACCTCAACTACATGGACTTGGAGGGTGCTGAGTTGCAGCGTGAGAAGCGCTGGATTGGTGACATTTTGTTTGCCGAAAAGCAGCAGACTTTTGACGGTCCACTCAAGGAGCCTTTCTACGAGGCAGTCGGCAAGGTTGTGGAGTTCATCAGTAAAGACAACTGGGAGGTTCCATTCATCAGTGCCCACAGAAGAGATTTCTTGATCCACACAGAAGAAGTGCCTGAGCCCGAGGGCGGCGTCCGCAATGTCGTCCACAAATTGCTTTTTGAAGACGACTTGTGGCGTATTGTCCGTCTTGATGTGGAGTACCACACCCTCTACGAAAAGCGTGTCAACACAGAAAAGATCATTGATGCGCTCCAGCTCGACGACGATCTCGTCAAGGATATCCAGTCTGTTGACTCAATGGTGGCCATTCAGGACTTACAAGACTACATCAACTTCACATACTCGGCTGAAATCAAGAAACTCAGCGACTCTAAGGAGGAGCTGGCTGAAGCTCAGGACGAGGAAGGTAAGCTGGGCAAGAAGCACTCCAAGTACGCCATTTTCGAGCGTATCCGTGAAAATGTCTTGTACGACGCCGTCAAGGGCTACGGTATCACATCTAAGGAGTTTGGAGAAAACGTCCAGGACCAGTCTCTCAAGAACTATGAGGTGCCTTACAGAATTCATGCCACTGACGACTCGTACGAAACCCCTGACGACATCATCGAGAGACTTGTTGAGGACGACGAGATCTTGTTCAAAGACCCCAAAAATGCATTGAGCGCTGTCCGCAAGACATTCGCCGAAGAGATATTCCACAACCCCAAGATCAGATCCGAGGTCAGACAGGTTTACAAGAACTTTGCCTCTATTTCCGTCACCTTGACTGAAAAAGGTCGTCTTAGCATCGACAACCACAGCCCATATGCCGACATCAAATACGCCAAGGGCCTTTCCCCTGCAGACTTGGTCAGTAAACCAGACGTCTTGCTCAGAATGCTTGAAGCAGAGTCCAACGGTTTGATTATCATCAAGGTCGAGACATCTGACTACGACAGCTGGTTCCAGTCGATCTTGAACTGTTTGACATCAGACGGTACTTCTGAGATTTCCGAGCAATGGAACAAGGAAAGAGAGTTGACGTTGTCCATGGCATTCAAGCGTTTGACGTCCATGGTTTCCATGAACACCAAGGAAGACTTGCGTCGTGAGTGTGAACGTCTTGTGGCTGCGGAGCTTAGAACGAGGTTCATAGCCAAGGTTGATCAAGCTCCTTTCACGCCATTTGGCTACGATAAGGGTACGAAACCCAACGTGTTGTCACTTTCTTTCGGTAAGGGTGACTTTGACAGTGCTGTCGTTGGTGCTTTTGTCAGAGATACTGGAAGAATCAGCGAGTACTTCAAGTCTGACAACAACCCAACCAGAGACAGAGACAGCGGAGAACGTTTTGCTGGTCAGCTCAAGGAGTTCTTCGACACTAGACTTTACAACCACAAGCCCGACGTCATTGTTGTCTCTGGTTACAGCGCCAACACCAAGAGACTCTACGACATTGTCAAGAACTTTGTCTCCAAGTACGAGATCTTGTGCAACGTTGAAGATCTACAAGATCCTGCTACTCCACCATTGCTTCCCGTTATTTGGGGCCAGGACGAGACAGCTAGACTCTACCAGAGCTCCGAGAGAGCGGTTGTTGAGCTTACAGACAAACCTCCTTTGGTCAAATACTGTGTTGGTTTAGCCAAGTACGTGCAGAGCCCGTTGTTGGAGTACGTTTCCCTCAAGGACAACATCTTGTCTTTGACCTTCTACGAGCATCAGAAGCTTCTTGCTGACGATGTGGTTCAGGAAACTTTCGACACTGTCTTCATTGACATCGTGAACATGGTTGGTGTGGAGATCAACGAGGCCCTTCGTGACCCATACTACGCCCAGCTTCTACCATATGTTGCTGGTCTTGGACCTAGAAAGGCTTCCGGTTTAATCAGAAACATCACCTCAAAGCTTGGTACTTTGACCACCAGAAGTGACTTGATTGAGAATGAGCTCTCTACTGCAAACATTTTCTTCAACTGCTCGTCTTTCCTCAGCATCCCATACGATGAGGGTGTGACTGTCATGGACTCATCCATTGAGCTACTTGATGCTACTCGTATACATCCTGAGGACTACAGTTTAGCAAGGAAGATGGCTGCCGATGCACTTGACTTAGATGAAGAGGACATGGCTCATATTGACGAGCAGGGTGGCATCATCTACCAGTTGATGCAAGAGGGCGTTAACAAGGTGGACGACTTGAACTTGACTGCTTTCGGTAAGGAGTTGGAGTCCAAGTTCGGCAAGAAGAAGTACGCAACTCTTCAAAGTATCAAGGAGGAGCTTGTGAACAACTTCGAGGAGCTCAGACGTTCTTTCCACTTGCTTGATGTCATTGAGGTGTTCCGCATGTTGACTGGTGAAACCATGGAGAGTTTTAATAGAGGTACCATTTGTCCTGTCACCATCAACCGTGTGGGCAAGAACTTCCGTGACGAAAACGCCAGAGTCAAGTTTTTGCGTGTTTCTACTCCATCGCTCATTTCTGGAACTGTTGAGGAGGGTCACATCTTGAAGAATTCTGACTTCCAGCAAGGCCAGGTAATCCAGGTTGTCGTCTTGGATGTCAATTACGAGGGTTTTGGTGCAACATTCAGTGCTCTTCCTGAAGATATCAAGAAGTCATCTGGTCCCAAGTTCATCAAAGACCCTCTCAAGTGGGACTTCCAGCTCGAGGAGCACGACAAACAAAAGGAAAGAGCCAAGGAGAATGCCAAACTTGCAAAGACAAGAAACGTGCAGCATCCACTTTTCCACAACTTCAATGCCAGACAAGCCGAAGAGTACCTTGCGCCTCAGTCTGTTGGTGACTGTGTTATCAGACCATCATCCAGAGGCCCAGAGTACTTGACTGCTACTTGGAAGGTGGCCAATAACTTGTTCCAGCATCTCAGTGTCAAGGAGATCGTCCACAACGCCGGCAAGGAATACATTGTCGAGGGTAAGAAATACGCTGATTTGGATCAGATGGTTTTCCAGCATGTTCAGGCAATCGCCAAGCACGTCAATGAGATGTGCCGCCATCCTAAGTTCCGTGAAGGTACCCTTTCGGAAGTCCACGAGTGGTTGGAGTCATACACCAAGGCCAACCCCAAGAACAGTGCCTATGTGTTCTGTTATGACCACAAAGCACCAGGCTGGTTCTTGCTACTTTTCAAGGTGAACGTCAAGACGCCGGTGACGACGTGGCACGTGAAGACAGAATGCAACGGGTTTGTGTTGAAGGGGTTCTCGTACCCCAACATGATGAGATTATGTAATGGTTTCAAGCAGACATTCAAGAGTCTTGTCAATGACAAGTCGAGAGGCCACAGTCAGCCATACGGCGGCTACGGCTACTAGATTTGTCAAAAAAATTGTGTTATATATAATAAGATCATACAACGAAAACGGCGTAGATTATAAATATGATGTCTTTTCTGTGATCCGCCTATGACTGATTGAGTTTTCTGAGTTTGGAGCGGTAACTATCGCCATCGACATATGTGCCCATCAACCAGCGATCGCCACCATTAGAGTCAGAAAATTGGTTTCTCGAGTGAAGAACACGGCGGTTGTCAAATATCACACAGCTTCCTTCAGGCAGTTTCACCTCGTAGGTGTTATTCGGATCATTGATGAAATCCTCAAAGAGCCTCATTCCTCGTAAGAAATCCTGCCAGAGTTCAGCGTCCTCGGAAGATGTGACATGAAATTCAAATGGACCCTGGAATGGTGGAGCATAGTTGACCTCCTTGATCTGAGGCTCTCCGTTGGTGAAGTTCTTCACATATGGATCCTCCACAATGAGCGGACGCAAGTAGTAGTAATACTCGTTGTTGTTATTGTAGTGGTAGGTAATCGGAACCTTTTTTAATGCTTCGTAGGCAGCAGGATCAGTATCACGGATATGGTAGCCGGCTGCAAATGAGTCTGCAAAGATGTTTTCACCACCTAGGGTGGTATTTTGAATAAAATGCAAAAGCTGCAATCCAGGAGGAGACTCGTAATAGAGCAAGTCCATATGCAACGGGAGAAAGACGTTTGTGTTGGCAATGTTCTTAGCGTTCTTCTCATTCTTCACGTCGAAAAGGACCCCATAGAATGTCTTCTTGATGTAACCAAAGCGGTGTGCCAATTTGGACACCGGCCACAAGTGCTCATTCTCAGGCTTAATGGCATCGAGCTTTGGGTCCTTGAGCGGATCTTCCACGTTTTCAATAAACGAAAGACCGTACTTGTTCAAGTTGTTCACCACTTTCTTGAACACCTCGTCTTTGGCGAAGTATGCGTTGTAGTCGACCTTGAGATCGCCCAATTTTGGAACTAAATCCTTGTTTCTCCAATACACCTTTTCTTCAGGGAAGAACTTGCCTTCAAATCGGCTCTTGAGTGTCAGGGCCTTCTTCAAGAAAGACTCAGTGTATGCTGAATCATGGGCATCGCTTCCCTGCTGCCATTTCACAAAAAGCGTCTTTTCGCCATCCTGATCACCAACATAAGGCTTTTCCGAAATATTGAGACCTCTGGAGATACTAGCTGTGGTGAATGATTTCTGGCTTGTGGAGATATCCACGGAATCTGGGGAAGTGCAAGAATCTCTCAAGAAGACGTTATCAAAAGAAACATCCTTGCCTTCGATATTTACTGTGATCGAGGTGCTATCATAAGCCAGTAGGGAAAGTCGACGATTGGCCAAACGTCGTGTGACTCTGGAAAACATGGAGTATTAAAGTATTGATACCTCGGTTAGAGATATTGTGGGGATTCCGCACTGAAAAATAAAAAAATATTGACACCCGCGAGGTTCGAACTCGCGCCTCCGAAGAGACCAGGAATGTATGGTAAGGTAACCTTACCCTGGCGCCTTAGACCACTCGGCCAGAGTGCCAATTGTTGTAGTATGGTGAGTGCAAGTAAAATAAATCGTTTTGTAGAGCATTTTTGAGGATGCCCAAAATCTTCCGATTTTTCCAATTTTTAGCTCACCTACTAACTTATCCCATATCTATCCATTTTCTATAACCTAAAGCGTGAAGAGAGAAGTTCTCCGCTTGCCAAATGGGTACACCACCAAGGCGGCAGCGAATAAACCCACAGAAATACCAATCGACACCTCCACCATGGTGGCACCGAAACTCAACGACGAAGAAGTCGTCTCTGTATCACCAACAGAACTTCGGCTCGAATTGGTGATACGATTGGCCGTGTCAACACCAGCCAACAACGTACTCTTGGATGCGATACCAGATGGCACTTGCACGAAGATAGCTGGAAGCATAGCACTCACCGCCATTCCTCGTCCGACACGAGAGTACATGTTACCAAGAATACCGATAATGAAGGAACCGATGGCTGCAGTGAACTCCGTAACGTTCTGGAAATGCTTACCCGCAAAGTACGTACCGACATAAGCGGTACAGGAGATGAAAAGCATCACCGGCAATTGTCTGAAACGAGCCTGGTTGATCAAACCAAGACAAGTGGTAAAAAGCGGCACGAACAAGATTCTCCATTTATGGTCGATCTCATGATCTGTGGAACACTGCGCCTGATCTGTGGCATTCAGATCGACCCAACCGTACAACGCAGCACCAAGTGTAATACCGAAACCCAAAAATAGCGAGTATATAATTGCATAGAACATTCTGACCGAACCAGCAACGATATTCTTGGATTGCAATTCTAACGAGCCACACAAAATAATGTAACCCGGCAAAATCAACGCTAGTGACCCTTGTGCAATGGCACCAAAGCAGAAAGTGTTACCACTATTAGCAGATCCGATACCACGAGCAACGAAGGAAACAACGATAGAAGATGTAACCTCAAAAACCGAGGAGTACAAATGTGACTTGGAAGAAACAAAGAATTGCAAGTAGCCCACGATGGAGCCAACACCAAATGAGATGGGCACATCGAGCCAACCTCCACCGAAACCGAACGTACAAACGCATGCTGAACCCAAGGCATAAAGGAACACGGACATCCATGGAGGGTACTGGTTCCTTCTTCTCAACAAATCTTCGAGCTTCTTCGTGGCTTCCTCGACACTGGTCAAGTCATGAATAACGTCTTTGTAGATCTTGTGAGTGTCCGAAAGCTTGGACAAATTAAGACCCTGGGCACATCTGACCAAATGCACCTCGGAAGTTCTGGTGGCTGCGTCACCAAATGCAATAAGCATGGTACCTGGGAAGTAGACGAATTGACCGTCGATTTCGAGCACTCGACTGGTCATAACCATATACTCCTCCAATCTATGAGTAGGGGCACCATACATCATGAGAGCACGACACATTCTGATGATGAAACGCTGTCTCTGCAAAATGTCTGCAATGTGGACCGTAATACGCAACTTCTGGTCCTTGTTTTTCTTTAACTTCTTTCCAAGACGGTTCGTGCTAGGGTTCTTGGGTGCCTTAGGACGGGCGTTTTGGAAAGATGGCAACTTGGCGGCATCTTCGTCCTCGTCTTCCTCGTCGGAGTCACGGCCACCCTTTTGCAGATCCGACTTCTTCTTGAACTTGTTAGCCAATCTCTTGGGGCCCAGCTTGATGTTGTTTTTGAGCTGTGTGAAATCATGCTGACTGACGTTCTTGGAACCGTAGCCCCCGTCTTCGAATTGTTCATCAGCAATCATCGTGTTGGAGGATGAGTTAAACGAAAGTGTCGATTTGCTGGCGCCTGGGTTCTGGTACAACTTCAAAAGCGATGAAAGCACACCAGCATGCACCTGCTTGGGTGGAGCAATGTAGTCATCGCCACCGCCCTCAGCTAGAAGAAGATCGTCATCCTGTAAATCGTCATCAAGGTCGGCTCTGAGCAAGTCGGGGTTAGGCTGGTAGAAAGGATTTTCGGCCGAGTCGATGGTAGCTTGTCTTCTGTGACCTTTGGCCTTTTCTTCCTTTTCGTGGTCCAAGGAGGAGCCTTCCTGAAGATCCACGTCGGTGAGGTCAGCTTTTTCGTCCGGTTCTTGGAAAGCCACCTTGTTCATGCGCTGCAGCTGCTTGAGCTCAGGGGCATGGATGTCAATCAAGTCCTTAGCGGCCTCGTTGAGCTCGGCATAGTTCAAATTCTGCATTTCAATGGCGTGGTCCTCGCCTTCACCGCCCACGGCCTCTTCAGCATCGACATCTCTGTCTTCGCCAGCCTTGGTGGCACCAGGCGCCAAACCACCGCCACTGAGACCGCCACCGCCCATATTTAGGACGCGTCCAATGAACGTGTCGGATCTGGAAGGAGCATCGGCGCTATCGGCCTCGTCTAGCAACAGTTGTCTGCGGAAGATGTTCCTGATGGAGCTGCTCTTTTTGGAGTTTCGGGACGTGTGGGTGGAGGTTCTGCGGACGTCGGCAATGTCGACCTCCTGGGACCCGGAACGGGAGTGGCTCTTGCGTGAGCTGTTCAGCGAGGCACCGTGGGTTCTGTACTGCTGAGGGTTCTCGTCATTTTCGTCATCGGAGGAATCAGCGATTTCCAAGGGCATGGCGTTGTTGTCGCCATCATCCTCACTCTCATCGTCGTCAGAGCTATCGTCATTCTGTCTGTGCTGGGGCATGTTGAAGGCGAAATTAGGAAGATCCAGGGCACCTTCCTCCTGGCGAGCCTTGGCCAAAGAGGACATCAGCACCAGGTCCAGGTCCGACAGCGACAGGTCCATGGCGTTCTGGGAGGAGGTGCTCATGACGGTGTTTCTGTTGTACGGGGTGTCCTCGCCCAGGTACTTGACCTTATTGGCGTTTCCAGTGATCTTCTTCTTTGCCTTGACCAAGTTGGTTTTGGCATTTTGCTTTTTGTTCTGTTTGCGGAGCGCCGCCAAATTCACCGCAGGCACGTTAAAGTTGTGCTGAAACTGGGACTCGTCTTCCGACGACAGGGTCAGTGGACGGGACATGGTGTATTTAGGATCCAGGTGGAACTGGGATGGGGCCTGATATATATGGCGGTTGCGACTGTGCCTGCGCGCTCTGGCTGCGAAATGCAGACAATGAGGAAAGTGGAAGAAAGAGGGGGAAGAGGGAGGTGGAGGGAGGAAATTGGGATTTTTTCAAATTTCCAGGCAACAATAACGACGAGATTGATTGTGACGTTTTTGCAGCTGCTCAATTGGGACAAGGAGAGGTGGGTTGTACAGCCACGGTCTAGTATGCGGCCTAAAAAAAACCGCATTTCCAGTGCAGAACCGGCTGCAAAAGCAAGGAAGGCCAGGCAGGAGACAGAAGAGTGAAGTGAGGAATAGGAGGGTGGGCAAAGCTGAAAAGGGAAAAATAGGAAATTGAGGATGACAAATCCAGAAGAGATAAAGTTTCAAATGTTTAGAGAAGGAAAAGGGCGTTTTTGTGGACCCGTTTCATGGTGCTAACCGGGCCAAGAGACAAGAAACCCAGGTGTTTCTGGAAACTCAGACAATGCAACGGCCAAGAGGAGGACGTGTGTGGAGTGCAAACGATGACTGGGTTGGACTGGATTTGTGTAGGTTTGGTGGTGATTTCCATGCTTTTTGTGGGTGTCTGTGACCGGCGTTAGAGGGTGCCACGGCACTTCTGGAAGCAGCGATTCTGCAAGGAAGGTGCACCGACTTGTCCAAGCAAACTTCAGTAATCCTTGATTTTCTCGATTACGGTATGATTTTGTGAATCAACAAAATACGATTTTAAAACTTCTAAAACTTCCCTGTCCGATCGTGCGTTACAGATGGTTGGTGGCCTTGGTGGGTGCAAACGCGAGCAAACGGAAAAATTCACCACCCGTGCCGACTACCACTCTGCGCCCTAAGCCTGTTCTGCCTGAAGTAACGGAAAATGACACCACCTGGACGCCGCCGAAAATTCCACAATGAAGCGCCGACTTCGAAAAAAATCTTCTCTTTTTTTCTTGATCTTCTCTAAAACCTCCTTTTGACGTCATGGATGTGCGGCGGCTCTTGAGCCTCAGACTGATCCATTCTGCCTCGCAACACGGCGTTCCGGCGCTACCCGTCCACTCATGTCAAGACTTTTTCACCATCGTCGCGATGCTCCCTTTTGCCTTGCTGCTGGACCAATCAGCTTTTTTGTTTTAGTGCCTACGTCCCGCTGCATGTTTTGGGCGTGGAATGTGGATTTGGTGCTTTGGCGAGGTGCATATGTCGAGGGCCTTCGAGACGTTGATGACGACGTTTTGGTGAAAAACGCTGCTGCATGTGGCGGTACAGTGCCAGCCGGCGTGGAGGAGACTGTGAAGAGGGTAGGTTTTGGATTTCTGGTTTGATTTTGATTTTTTTGCTTGTAGTCGTGAAAAGCTCCTTTGGAGAATTGGACTAGACGGATCGTGGCTTGGCTGCGTTGACTCGGTGTGGCTGATTTTCCGATGCCTGTTTCATATAGGTGAGCTCATACGAGAAGCCAGTTAGTGGTGAGTAGAGGGATCTGATTTTTTACCAAGTTGATGCACGAAATAAGGATTTGAAAAAATTGTCCTTAAATTATTGTCGGATTCATCGTTACCGTATCTTGCTGCTTTCGAAGCATCAAACTTGCCTCCGTGCAACGCCTTGCTACTGGCACTATCTAGATTCGATCAGATATCACCAGGCTACTACCACCAAAGTTACATTTCTCTCCAAACACAAAAACCACCTCAAATTGCTCCATTCCTCCTTACCCCTCAACCATTCTACACCGTTTCCAATGTTTCTCCATTATCTATATTACAGTCCAGACCGTTCCCAAGCCCTAGGCCTGCTGTGACCTGTCAACACTCTCCTCCCACTGCACACCACAGTACTCTCTCACGTATCCCACATGGTTCTCGTCCAAACTGGGCATGTAGTCCTCCTCGTCCGTGTAAACCACAATGGTGCCCCACGACATACCATTCAAGATATCAGCCACAGAAGCGCCCTCGCCCTCAAGGTCCATAATCGCCTTGGGCATGAGCTGAAGCTCGAATCTTCTCTTGGATGACGGATTGTATGCTGGATCAGGAACGGTCTTTTCACTCACCTGCTTGGCCACATCGTCCTTGCCGCTGTAGAGCACAGGCTGGCCGTCCAAGTCGTATCGAAGCACCTGTGTGGGGTTGTGATTGACGACGGAGGTGAAGTTTTCGAAAAACTTGTCGTCGAGCATCTTGGAGATCTGGTTGGTCTGGTTGACAGCCAGCGAGGAGCTGGACGAAGAAAGCGTTCTCTCCTTTTTGCCGCCCTTGCTGGGTCCTTCTTCCTCGGTGGTTTCTTCTATCAAATGCTTGTACTTTTCCAACTCAGGCTCGAGCGTCACTCTCTTGAGCTTCTCCTTCTCCGTGAAAAGAATGTAGCCAGGGTACTCTGGAAGATCGACGGACACCAGCTTCTTAGCGGGGGTGGCGGGCTTAGCGGCCTTGGAAGCGTCAGCGTAGCTTGCCTTGGCTGGCTTCTCTGTCTTTTCTGTCTTTAGCTTTTCTGCCTTTTCGTCCTTCTTGAACGGATCAGCCTTTCCAAATGGATTCGAGCTGGTGAAAGGGTTAGCCTTGGCGTCACCGCCAAAAGCAGCCAGAGAAGTAAATGGGTTTTCCTGGGCCCCGGTGGGCTTGGTCAGATCAAACAAGTCCTTGGTCATCTCGATCTGAAACTTGCGCTTATCTTCCAACCGAAGCTTCTCGTCCAACGCCTTCTGAGCCTCCGCCTGCTGCTCCTCGTATATCTTCTCGGCAATAGCAGGGTCCTTGTTAATGGCTCTGATGGCCTTGATACTTCCTCTCTTTCTCGAGCACTGGGCCGTGTTTTTGCACCCAAACACATAGATCATTCTGTCGTACGCCTTGCCGTCCAACGGAGCGTAGGCCTGGGCAAGAAGCGCCATGAAGCTGCCGCAATTGTCACATTTCAAGTCCTCCTCCTTGGGCTTCAGCTCAGGGTGGGGCCAGATGGGCTGTCCTCCGATGAAGGTGTCTTCGATTGTGGGGTATTCGTCGTCCTCGCCAATGCCGATATCGATGAATCCAAGAAAAACATCGGACTGGGGAGAGTCAAACAAGTCTTCTTCGTCCGAGGAGTACTCGTCGTGGCTGGACATGGTTGAAGATGCTGCGATGAGGTTGATGGTTTTCGTGCGAATGGTTCACGATTTTCAGTGGGGCAGTCTGAGATGAGACCCTGGGGGGAGGTTTTTAACAAAAATTGAAAAGTCTAAAAGAGAGCTTATTTCTGAGGTACTCATTTTTCAATACATATAGCGTAACGTAGTTCTGGAATTTGTTCAGGGCTAAGCTCATTCTCCCCAATTGCTCTGGATGCTAGTACATATACTTCTACGCACTAGCTAGTCTGTCCCAACACACTACAACCTCCTTTTTATGGCAACCGCCTGAGGCATTATTACCTCCTATGTACTTCGTTTGTGTTTATTTACAAGTAGCGTGGGATCTCGGTTTCCTCGTACGCTTCTATCTTGTCGCCCTCCTCGAACTTATCCCAGTTGGTGAAGGCCAAACCACACTCAGTGCCCTTCTTGGCCTCCGAAATATCATGCTTCACGTGTTTAAGCGAAGAAAGACCTCCAGTGTAGATGATTTCTCCGTTTCTCAAAACACGAATCTTTGACGACCGCTTCAATGTACCCGTCTGAACCTTCACACCAGCGATCTTGACTGTGGTCTTGTTCTTTCCTGTGATCAGAAGAGCGGTCTTCAAGTCTGCCTCGGCAAGCACGTTGATCTCGATATGGGGTTTCAACTTTGATGTCAACTCGTTCGTAACCTCCTCTATCAAACGGTAGATCACGTTGTGCTCAAACACCTTGACATTGGCCCTTTCAGCCTTGAGCTGAATCTGCTTAGGCACCTTGACGTTGAAACTCATGATGCTTCCGTTCACCGTGGCAGCAGTGTCCACATCAGAGTCCGTTGGTGCACCAGCGTCATAAGAAATGACCTTTGCACGAACTTCCTCATTCCCAAGTCCATCAATACTTTCCTTGATGGCCTCTGCTGAGCCGTAGACGTCGGACTTAACAATGTAGTTGACAAAAGTTGTTTTAGTCTTCTCGTCTTCCTCCTTCATGAACTCCAGCGGATCGAGGCCAGCCAATTTAAGCTCATTGATCTTTTCCTGGCGCTTAAGCTCATTGACCTCTTCCTGTCTCAACTCGTTGATCTTCTCGATATCCTTGGCTTGCTGGATGATGGTGTTTCTTTCCTCTCTGTTTCTGACAACTTTACGGCAAGTTTTCTCCGAGTCCGCCTCCAAAATCTGATCACCCGATTGAGGAAGATCTTTCCATCCCCAAATCTGCACTGGAGTCGATGGACCAGCGGCTTTAACGGTTTTTCCATGTTCGTCCTTCATGCCTCTAACTTTGCAGTAGGTGTTGCCCGCTACCAAAAAGGTGCCTGGCTTGATGGTTCCTCGTTTCACCAAAACTGTAGAAACATTACCCAAACCTTTGATGAGCTCACTTTCAATGATCCAGCCTTCAGCAGGAACACCCTTAGCCTCGGCTTTAAATTCACTGAGCTCACTGAGCGTGATAACGGCCTCCTCTAGCTTGTCCATATTCATGCCCGTTTTTCCACTAACTCTGACGGTCTGTGTTTCTCCACCGTAGTCCTCAATGTCAATTTCATGGCGAGCCAAGTCCCCCAAAACCTTATCAATGTTCACACCGTGCTTATCGCATTTGTTGATGGCCACGATGATTGGAACTTCGGACTTTTTGGCATGCTTGATGGCCTCAATTGTCTGTGGCATAACCGAATCATCTGCAGCGACCACAAGAATCACAAGATCAGTGACAATTGCTCCACGTTCTCTCATGCTCAAAAATGCAGCGTGGCCTGGGGTATCCAAGAAAGTAATCTTCTTCTTTGAAATAGGCGTGGTGACAGAAAAAGCACCAATGTGCTGGGTAATGCCTCCAAATTCACCGGCCACCACAGAAGATTTCCTCAAGTAATCCAAGATCGTCGTTTTTCCGTGATCAACATGACCCATGATGGTCACAACTGGGGCTCTAGGCTGGAGCTGCTTCTCATTGACAGGAGCTGGGAAGAGATCCAAGCCTGTCTCGTCACTCATGGTGATATCAAAGCCATACTCATCCGCTATAAGCGAAGCATTCTCTTTATCTAAGATATAGTTGTGGCTCATGTTCTCGAAACCAAGCTCTTCAAGCTTCGTGAGCATCTCGGATAGCTGAACGTTCATGATATTGGCCAAGTTGGTAACCGTGATGAATGTAGGGATGTTGATCTTGATGTTCTCTTTTCTCTTCTTCACCACCTTCTTCTTTTTAGGTGGCGCCTTGGCCTTGGGCAGGGCTTGGCCTTTATTCTCCTCTGCTTGTTTCTGCTTAATCTGCTGATTCAACCGCTGCTTTATCTCAGCGAATTTCTGGATACTGCCTCCAGAAGGAGCCTGTTCCGGTTGGGGTTCAGGTTTATGCTGCTTCTTGGGCTGCGGCTTCTCGGTAGGCCGATTGGATCCTTTATTCTGCTGATTCTGACCATTCTTATTTTGCTTTTTTGGCCCTGGAGTGTTCTTATTGTACATTTGTGCAAATCGGTTAGGCTTCTTAGCTTCTCCGGAGCCTGGGGTATTGGGTTTCTTAGGGCCCTTCACATCGGCAACTTTGGGCAAATTTCGAAGAGAGTGAAGCTGACGGCTCTGTAGAAAACAGCTATAAGCCCGTTCTAGGCCTTTTAGTCTGTAGCTCATGGTACCTTCTCTTGTAGATACTGCCTGCGAATTTTCAGTTGATAGTCTACTGCATAGCTTCTTACCACCATGAGCTTATCAGATGTATGCGAGTAAAATTCGATCTACAATCTTCGGATCTTTTTCTATGGCGCCTGTTGGCTTTTTTATTTATGTATTTATTTTTTGATGCAGTGGAATAGTGGTGAGCGGGATGTGACATGGAAGGATACTCGTTATCGCGCTGCGAGTTACTCGTATCTATAGTCACCATTTGAGGCAACATAGCCCATGAATTTGCTCTCGTTAAGCGTGGCAATAAGATCATCAATCTCCTTGAAGTTGTCGTCATTGCATGCAAAATTGCGGTGTCTGTTCGACACAATGTGCTCGTCAAAGCTATCATACTTGACTCGGCAGTTCTCGCAATATCCGGGCCTCAACTCACGCTCCCGCTCTCGCTCGCGAGAGTCGGTCTTCTGCATGTGCTTCTTCATGAATATACGCCTCTTGAGGTTGTTCAAGTTCTTCGATGGAACCTGTGACACGGCGGGCCCTAGACCATTCCCTTGGTGTGCGTGCTGCTGCGCAGCACTATTAAGAACTGAATCCATGTGGTTGGACTGTGCGTTCGATGCTCCATTATAACCAGAGGCAACGACGTCGTAGAACTTGGAGTTAGACTGTGATACTGAGTTGTTGAATGGCTGCATCACGGAGGAGTTTCTCATTAGCCCGGCTGGTGCCTTAAAGCTGAATTCGTGGTTCACATCCACCTCGTCTTCGTCTTCCTCGGGGGATGGCTCCTTTTCCATCAGAATGGTGTCGTTATCCTTTTCGTCAATTTCCTTGATGCTAGCTTCATCGGCCACGGTGTTATCGGTTGTCTCAGCAGAATCCGTGCTCGTGCTGGTTTCAGTGAGCGCTGAGGAATTGATAGAGACCTTGTCGCGGGCGTAGCCAATGATGACATCAGTAACCTTTCTTAGAAGATCTCTATATTCTTTGGTTGCGTCGAACTTCTGTAATCGGCGCAACTTCTTTCGTTCCAGGTTATCTGAGGTGTCAGGAATGAACGGGCACTTGCCGTCTAGCGTATGATAAAAGGAAGGGTAGTTTTCGCCAGACCATTCACGAACGGCAATTGGACGTACCGCTTGGGAGAGATCGTAAATGTAAATGAAGTTTTTCTCCAAGTAGTACAAGTCCTCTCTCTTTGCATTAGGATCTCTGTCGGCCGAACCGAAGATCTTCTCTTCCTTGAGAAGGTTGGACAAGTTGCCTGTACGTTCATGAGCACCTGAGTCATTGACGCCCAAGTTTTTGAGGAAACGAAACACCTTCTCGTAGTCCCACACCTTGATCTTTAGACTCACGGCGTCGTGGAAGATGTCATTGTTTGGGTAGGCCTTGGAGCTGCTGAACAGACGGCGACTGACGATGATACTGACGTCCCTATCGTAAAATGGCACGATCTCACAGCCAACCAGCCGCAATGCACGCTGTGCCCTCTTCTGCTCGTTATACTGTGCTTGGTTGTTTGAATCGCAACCTTGAGTGTCGAAGTAAACGACAGACTCACGCATGATCTTTCGCCAGGAGTCCTGCCAGCTTTTGAGCTCATCTCCTACGAGTCTAGCAGACTTTGAGGCAGCTGCTCCGCTCACCACTGCCTTTGTTTCCTCCTTACGTTTCTTGTCGTCTTCCTCATCTGTTTGTTTGCTCTCCTCGGCATGATCCGGTTTGTGTGATTTGAGCTTGGGTTTTATGGTAGCCGGCAGAGGCACATTCTGGTTTGTTTCAGCCAATGGCACACGTTTGGCCTGGGACATGGTGGAGTAGGATCTCTTCTTGTTTGTCCTGTCCATCTTAAAGGTGCATTGTCAGAATTGATTGGGATGCGAAGGTGGCAGCTGAAAAGCTATTAGTTGACAATGCTGAGAAGGAACAGTAATGCGAATAGAGGATCCGTAGATGGTGTAGACGGGCTGAGGTCTATGTGTTAGTGGTAGGAGCAAAACACGAAGATTCGCGTCGTGAGAATGAGAAAAAACCAGTAGGCTGCATGCCACTGTTTACATTTGAGGTTGAGGTGAGCTTTCCAGGTGGGGAATAAAAGATGACATTTGTGAAGGAAATGAGATTAAGAGAACTTTCAGTTTTTTAAAAATTAAAAAATTTGGGTTGGTGGGGGCGGTTCCAAGGTGTTGCTTGGGCTGCGAAACGGCTGCAAACCAGCTGCGACAGTGCTTACTGGACGATGGTGCGAGTGACAATGGATCAAATTTGGAAGGATCTGTTGACATTACTTGAAGCAGGTCGTTGCTGTTTTGACTTGGAATTTTTGGAATTTGGTTGTACGATGAGGGTGGTGATTTTGGAGATTTTGAGGGAAGCTGTTTTAGGGCTGGCGATGGGCTGACAGTTTTGTGTATTTCCTGGTAGGAACGGCAATTCTCTTCGAGGTTTCCTGATAGTAGGCAAAGAATTTTCAGTGTAGGGCTGTTGAGAAGCTTTGAGGAAGGCTCCATTCATAGAACTCTATAGGTGGTTGACGACCGAGGTCTTGCTGGGTGATCAGTAATAATATGGATACTTGCCATTCACGTCTTAGCCGTGTTTCTCTAATATCTGGCATTGCGTTGCAGCATAAGGAGGACTCATTTTCGTCAAACTCCCTGGTTTATTGTTTTCCCAAGTAAAGCGTACATTTCAATTTTCGACTTGGGGTCTCATTTTGCAGCCAGTCCGCACTATTAAGCTGAGGATTGCAATAGACAAAATACGCTCACCACAAATATGTCTCCCAAAAACCAGAACTAAAGCTTTCAGACAAAAGAACTACACGTCCAGCATCTTAAGAATTGACGACATCCTCTTACCACTATACCCATCGGAAAGCCATTCCGCTAGCAAAACAGCACCAAAACCTCACCTTGTCGATTCCCAAGCCATTCTCCAATCAAATCAAAACTTCAAAAGGAGACATCCAAAAATGCATCCCCGACTGTAGCAAAGCTTAATCTGCAGCTTTGGTGCTGCAAACCTTATCGTCTCTTCTCTATATCACCTCAACATTCCAGGCGCACTCGCACTATATCAACTACATGCTACAACCAAAGCACATCTCCAAAACCCTCTCACAAGTGCTCTCGCTGGCGGGCCAGGGGCCTATATCTGCATCGCTTCTTTCCAAAAAGGGTCTTCCGTTGGCGACGGTGCTGGTGCCAAACCTGGACATCTCTTCAGACAATCTCAAGGTGTTCTCGTTGTTGGCAATCAATGCGTTTCATCAGCAGACCAAGGCGAAAAGCGCCGACTTGGACGATTGGGCTGTTATGGACGTGGACGGAAACTTAAGGACGATGGTGAAACGCTTTTCTACGGAAGGAGGCCCCAAGAACCTGATGTATGTGGTGATTTTCTACCTTAGCGGGTACGAAGACGGAAAGGCCAAGGCACAGCTTGACGTGCTTACAGAGACGCTAGAAAACGAGCTTCAGGGCTACGTGGCGGCTTAGACCGGGTGCTATTATGCTAAACAGGAATCACGAAATAGAATAAAGTGCGGTGCACGGAGAAGTAAGGTCGTAGATGCATTAGATGGCTGGCGACTGCGGGCCGGAATCACGCAGACTCCATGGCCTCGGGCAGTAAATGAAAGGCCAGCGGGACGTTCGTACTCAAAGATACGCAAAATGCTGGGCGTGTAGTGTGCCGATACGGAAGGTCTGTACCCGAAGAGGGTATACCTATGCCGCTAAGCTCACTTCACCACCATGTCAACGTCGCTCTCCTCTTCGACGTCGTCCTCAACCTCGTCCATGTCATCCATGAGGCTCTCCTCATCAAAACTCTCCTCCTCACTGTCGTACCAGAAGTCCTCGTCCACAGGCTCCTGCTCGACGTCCTTGGCGCCCGAGCCGGCACCGTAAGCGTGGACCTCGCTCTCGGGAACCACAAAGCCCTCGGGGATGTCGCCCTTGGACCGGTTCACCTCTTGCATCACCTTCTTCTTGTAGGCATCGGGGCTCTTTCTCAACTCGACGGAAGCGTCGATGTTGGCAGGCAGCAGGATGTTGGGGTCCTCCAAAAGCGAAACAATGGAAATCAACACCAGCTCCACCGTCTGCGCAGGCGACCAGGTCTCGCTGTCAGGCTCGTCCGAGGTAGGGTCACCTCCCTGGTGGAGAATGGAAATGCACAATCTGCCGTCACGGTACACGTTGGGGTGGTAGATGGCGGGCGTGAAACGGAACGTTGGGGGCGAGAAGGGAAAGTCAGCAGGGAAACGCATCTGGCCCTTGAAGAACCCCCCGTGGTACATGGACTCCTTGTTGAGCACCATGATGCCGATGTTCCATAAGAAGATGTTGTCGTCGTCAAGCTCGATGTGGAATGAGGGGATGCCCTTCTTGGGGTCCGTCAAGTCTCTGAACTGCCGCTGGAGGATGGCTGCTGCTGACTTTGAACTCATTGTGGTTACAAACAAATAGTGTGGGTGGTGGGAAATGGGAGGAAATGTTGCCGGTTCTATAGATGCCGAAGGTGGTTTGAATGCTCTACCTAGATTTTTAGGATGGGAATCTTGGGAAAAACAGGTGGAAATAGCGGGTTTTCAGCGATGCTGGGAAGAAGTAGTGGAGGGAATCGGAGGTGCGAGGCGATTTTCTTTTTTCTGTGGTGGTGCCGCAGCCTGCTTTCTTTTCCTGCCACAAGTTGCTGTGAGGGCTACGAAATATGGGGGTGGTTTTTGGGATTTTTTTGTAGGAAAAGACGAATACGAAAGAGAATTGTCTGAATTTGGCGATGGAGTGGTTGGCCACCCGCTCCGGCCGCTGGAAGTACGGTTTAAACGGCTTTTTATGATAAGTCACGTGACCTGTCACAAAATAAGGTACTTACAAATCACGGACCCCCGGGGTCAGGCGGGCCAGAGACTCGAGCAGGATTTACATATAAAATAACTGGAAGTAGAGCCAGGCCGGAGGGTCGAGGATGGGTGTTCGGACCAGTGGAGATTGTTTGTTTTGCGGCCATGCAAGCAGGACAGGATCAGCACGAGGCACACGGACCCCATCCAGCAGCCAGCTTAAAAGAGGAGGATTTTGCCCATTTTGCCAAACTCCAGGGATTTCGAGTATTTGGAAAATCCTCGAGTTAAGGCAACCCACGGCACATTCAAGTTGCCGGATTTGCGTATGAGAATGTGAAAAACACCGCGTGGAACCAGCAAGCGACACTAGGATAAGAATGCTCCGAGCCCAAAGCGGATATGTTGGATGAGCTATTTGCAGCCGCTTCCCAGGAGGAGCCAAAATGGAAATTTTTGGAATTTGGCAAAAGAGCAAGGCACTTTTATTTTGGTGACGAGGTGGTATTTTCTGGAGTCATGGCGTGACGACAAGGGCCTTGAGCCCGTGTATCTGTAGTGTGGGGTGTATGTTTACTGAGGGTCCGATAGCACAACAGCCGAAAGGTGAATAAGCCTGAGACGAGATTACGGTGATTACGGTGACAAGAGTAATTCTTGAAGAAGCGTCAAGACTTCTTTTTTTTTTTTTTTCTTCTTCCATTCGTCAAATGTCTAAATTGTGGATACCCGGGTGTCTGATATGGTGGACTTGGCCTAGGCCTGAAAAATAGCGACCCTTGCAGCTTTCTCAGACACCGTCTGGACATCCACATAACCACCTAAACCGGATTCGTCATTTTGCAACTACTTCTTCTTTTTCTACTCCCTGATAATTTTGTCTTCAGCTTTATCGCTTTTACTTGGCTGATGGCCAATGGCCAAACCCGCCTTGTTTATCTTCCTGCCTCGGCCTTGTTTGCAGCCATTTACGGCGAAGACGGCCTAGCAAACCCACGGCTATTTTTCAGAATCGTCTACCCATCAAAACTCGTCCAACGAGATAAACAATGTGGGCGCCTTCATTGTTCATTTCTCGCCTCCAGGCCACGTTTTATAAAACTAGCCTGAATCCAAAACCACCAATCTTGCTATAATATGATCGTATTTGCCTCACATTCCTGGCGCCAGATTGGACGTAAACAGCAGCCCAAGCCACCGAGAGCCCCCCCTAGTGAGGCACCGATCCTCGATACCACAAAAACCACCAAAACCACCAGAATCAAAAAATTCTGGTTTCTACGATTTCTCTATTTTTCTATCAGAATTTCATCTATCTACACCATTTTCTCTTTTTCTCCTTTCCCCAGCTCTGAATCCAAGATAACCTCACGTGCCGCTGACATTCGATCCGGCACTTGGTTATCGATACGCTATCAGGCATACCCAAGCAATACTTGATTCTTCATCATGGACATCGAGGAGCAAATTGAAAAAGCAGAGAAGTTGGATACGCCATCGTTGGTGGGTCTGTCGATCCGTTCGGCCGACGACCTGGTGCATCAGAACTACATCCACCCAGAGAAGTACAAGGGCCGTTCCAAAAGCAAGCCCAAGAAACACCTGATCTTGGACCTGTCAATTGGAGCGTCTTTGGACGATTTGATCAACGAAGGTGCGCTTCTAGGCTCTGAAGAGGATTTCGACAAGTTTTTGGACGATACGGGCAAGATCAAGTCGGATGCTAAGTACGCTCCTGAAAAGAAGAAGCCCCAGGAGGAATCTTCCAGTGAAAGTACGCCGCAGAAAGAAGCCCCTAAGGCTGCAGACGAGCCTTTGGAACCACAGGTCAAGCTGGGCTCTGTGGATCCGGAAAGTGTGCCCATTTCTGCCCTGTCAACCGTGGACAATGACAAGACAGAGCCCAAGGAGGATCTGATCTACGAAAACGACAACTTCTCCGCCCCCAATTTGTCCGAATACCAGCTTGATCACCAGATCGCTGACCATTCGGACTTATTGAGCTCGGTTCAGTCTTATGATCTCAGCAAGTTGCCCTCTTCTAACGATAGAGAGCGCTCCAAGAGTAATAACCTTGCAGACTTGCCAGCTCGTGTTCCTTCGAATACAAGGGCTTCGCCTGCAAGAAGGGCCCCTGCTTTGGGTAAACATTTGGACTTTGGTGAGAACGCCAACATCAGACTGTCGGACTCATTGCACAGTCCGTACTTTGCTTCCTATGAGCGGTCTCCCAGCAGGTCCAGAACCGGGTTCAGGGATAAGTCAACCGACAGAGACACCAGGCTGAAGTCTTCAACCACCTCCAATCCACATTTGGCCCGTGGCGATACCTACAAGAACATTCACCCTGACACTCCTCTCAAGTATGAACGTCCAGCTGATTTTGATGTGGACGAGGAAGAAGAGGATAGCAGAGCTACTAGACACTCGAAGCCCACTATGGGTGAGTCCATTGCTGCCGCCGAGGAGGAGAACCTCAAGGCTTTCCATGGTGAGCAGGGTCTCACTAGAGATCCATCCTTGGTGACCACCGGTGACTACACTAACTTCAATGTGGACACTGTGAACCGCAATTTGGACGAAGCGTCTTTGTATTCTGTGAGATCAGAATCTTCAACGAATTACTTGAGAAGCATTTCTAGATCAAGATCCAGGCAGCCTAGACACAATGTTGATTCCATTAACGAGAAGAACGATGCCAACCACGAGGAGCTCGCACAAGAGGGTGCTTTGATTAGCGACGATCCGTTTGACCAGGTTGAGGACCTCGACAACGTCATGAAGAATGCCGTGAGTCCTTCCAAGAAGCAAGATGCCTCGGACATCATTGACGCTCAGAAGAAGCCAGCAGAAAAGGCGCCCAGCTTGGCTGAAACTTCTATTACTGAAGATGCTGAACCAAAGGCAACCGATGCGTTGACTTCAGAGGAAATCGAGGAAGAAAGCAAGGACACCGCTGAAGCCGAAGAGTCGAGCAAGGACATTTACAAGGAAGACGAGTCGAGCAAAGACATCTCCAAGGAAGACGTGTCGGGCAGGGACATCTCCGAGGATGATGAGTCGAGTGCTATTCCTCTCTCGAAGAAGTCCCCATTGGGTGCCTCGAGCGAAGACACTTCCACAAAGGAAGCTGTCGAAGAGGAATCTGAAAAAGCCCCTGTCAGCGATGTTGCCGCAGAAGAAAAGGACGCTGAAACGAAGGAGCAGCTCATTGACGAGTCTGCACCAACCGTTACAGCTAAAGATATCAAGATTGACGATTCGAAGGCTGACCATGAGGTTCATCGTGATATCGCGCCTGAGGTGAGTGAGGAAGCTCCTGAATCAAGTGAGTCCGTGGAGATTGACGAGCTGGCGGAAGACAAGATCAAGGAGGCCAAAGAGCAGCTCATAGCTGAGGAGGCACCTACTGTCACTGCGGCTGACATCAAGCTAGACAAGAATGAGAGAAAGGAGGTAGACGAGTCAACTGAAGATGCTCTGAAATCTGCGACGGAAAAGGACGTAAAGGACGATGAGCCCTCGACCACAGCTTTACAAAGCTCCACTAAGTCATTTGTTCAAGAGGCAGACGAGCCACTGGAAAAGGCTTCGCCAAAGGCTCTTGATACAAGCGCTGCAGATGATGTAACAGCAGAAACCACAAAGAGTAAGGAAATTCTCTCTGATGACGAGGAGACCAAGCCAAATTTGGTTTCTGAGCCAGTCGCAAACGTCACTGACAAGGAAGAGGCAAAGGATATCAAGGCCGAGGAAGATCCTACTCCTGAAGACAAAGATGTCGCTGAAGAGGAGGAGCCCAAACCAAGCCTTATAGCTGAAGGCGGTGTCGAGGAAGACGAGCCTGCTGCAGAACCAGAACAGAAACTCGACGAATCTGTTGACGAAGAAGGTAACTCTGTTGAGAAGAAGAGCGAGACAGTCAAGGAGGGTGTCGAGACTGACAAGCATGGAGCCAAGGTTCCTGTGATTGACTTTGACAAAGAGAAAGAGAACGTTGCTCCTGAGACAGAAGCTCCGGCCACTCAGCCTTCTCTCATTGGTGAGACTGCCAACGACGACAAGGAGCTTGAGGCAGAGGATGCAGAGGCCGCTGAGGCTACTACCGGCAAGGATGTTACTAAGCCAGCTACCGTGGTAGAGAAGGAGAGGTCAAAGTATGATTCTGAAGAAGACAAGACGATAGAGCCTGCCAGTGAGACCGCCTTGCCAAAGGAAGCTGTATCTACGGAACCTGAAACTGCCAAGGAGCTCAAAAAGGACGAAGGTGACGTTGTTGAGGAGGATGCTCCAGAAACAGAAGGTGAGATCGTGGATATTAAGAATGACGACGTTCCTACCGACAGTCAAAAGGTGAAGGCCACCGAAATCGTCGCTGAAGAGGAGGAGGAGAAGCAGGCCTCTGATGAAAGTGCAGAACAGAAATTGGGGGCTCAGGAGCTGGAAAAGGCAGCAGAGACTTCTAAGGAGAAGACCACAAAGGATGGCGAAGATGAGGAGGCAGCAGAGACTGCCAAGGAGGAGACAACCAAGGATGCTGACGAGGAGGAGGCAGCAGATGTTTCTACAAAGGACGTCAAAGAGGAATTCCCCAAATCTGAGAAGACCACCACTGCACCTCTCGCAGACGTCAAGGACGATTCTGAAGTGAAAGACAAGGAGGTAGTGCTGGAAAAGAGCACACCTCAGGCCGCCAGCCAGGGATGGTTTGGCCTGATTAAGCAGGGTCTCGGTGCTGTTGTTGGTGGTGGAGCAGCCGCAGCAGCTGCTGATACCAAAAAGGACGATGAGTTTGGCGTTTCTCAGGAAGAATTGCGCAAGCACCTCCAGTCTTTGCCAGTTTACATCTACACGTCGCTTGCTGGTGGTATGCAAATCATGCAGAGGACCAACCGTCTTACGACAATTTTGCAAGCCAATGGCGTGAAGTTTGAGTACAAGGACTTGGGCACGGATGAGGAGGCCAAAAAAATCTGGAGAAGGTATGCGCTGGGCAAGACACTTCCTGGTGTGGTTAGAGGCGACGATTTTATTGGCAACTGGCAGGAGATTGACGAGCTCAACGAAGAGTACATGCTCACACAGAGACTCTGGGAGGAGCTCTAGACGGGTGTGGCTTGTCTGAAGTGTGGAATTTTGCAACAAACCACACGGGCATAATCGGACCTGCAGAGAGCGCCACGTTACGAGGCCGCAGACCAAATTCTAGCGCACGGTAGGCATGTAAGCGAGTGACGTGGCTTGTGATACACCCGTACACCTCAACTGAGGCTCTAGATAGTTCCATCAGACTAGATTAGGAATACACTAATAGCAGAAGATGGCGAGGGACATTTAGGAATATGAAGAAAAAGGCACTTTTTCTAAGCATTTTTTTTGCCTGCATTTTGACCACTTTTTAAAACCCACGTTTTTTTTCTCATATCTGACTAATCGTCTACAAAACCTCTCTCCTAGTGGAGCAGGTGAGGTTGGGCGAGGTTAGCGGGCCCTATGTGCAGTACACAGCCATGGCTTGTTCCCATCAAATTTCCAACCCAGATCTATACCCACCACTTCTCCTCCAAGCACCCCCTGTGTCTTATACCATAACCTTTGGATCAGCCTTTCTGCTTTAAGCGTTCTGCTACCAAACTAAACATTTGAAAAAAAAAATAAATCAAAAAAAAATAAAGTGCTAGTCCGTAGCCTCTACGACCAACACTGACCTTCCCGCTGCTTATCTCAACTAAGCATTGCCCCCTGTGTGAAACCCTGACAAGAAAATCGATTACGACATGTCCACTCCAGCCGAGATCATTGCTGCCCGTGTCAACGGCACCTATGTTGCTGAAGAGCCCAAGCCTGTGAAGAAGTCCAAGGAGCCTGTCTCCAAGGAAAACGCCTTCCCTGTTCTTGGAGGCCGTCAAAGCTCCCCTAGTGCCGGTGGAAACACCACTCTCTGGGGTCCTGGTGTCAACGGAAACGGAAACGGAAACGGTCAAGCCAAGCCTGCTGCTTCTGTGTTGAAGCCTAGGCCTTCTGCTTCGTCCAAGTCTTCGTTCAAGAACTCCAGCGTCCAGGAAGCTTTCTCCTTGGACGCCGATGACCAATTGAACGTTGCCCGTGCTGAATTCATCAAGATTTTGACTGCCATCAAGACCGAGACCAAGGCCAGTATCGAGTGCACCTCCTCCCAGTACACCAAGAAGAGAACCTTTTTGATCACGGGTGCGCCGGATGCGGTCAAATTGGCCAAGCGTCTTGTGATCAAGAAATTGACCAAGCCTGTTGTTGTGAACTTTGCCATTCCCGCCAAGGTGCGTTCTAGAGTCATTGGTGCTCAGGGCAGAACCTTGAAGCCTATCATCCTGGAGTTCCAGGTCAAGGTGGACATTGCCAATGAGGACGAACTGCCATCTCCTGAACCCGAGGACGCCGACGACATTTTTGCCAAAACCGTGCCTGTTACCATTGAAGGTGACGCTGAAGGATGTAAGGGCGCTAAGGCTGCTATCTTGGCTATCGTCAAGGAGGAGACCAAGAACATGTCCGTCAAGATCGCTGTTTCTGACTTTGTGAAGCCTTTCGTTGCCAAAGCTGCCGAGCCTATTGAGTCCAAGTACTCCCAGCTTGAATTCAGCTTCCCTGCCTGGGATTCTCCTTCGACTAACGTGATCATCTCTGGCGACAGAGAGGCCGCTTTGGAGGCCCGTGACGAGTTGAAGGACCTCCTTGCTTCTCTCGAGGCCAGACTCACTGTTCACTCTGTTCCTATTCCTCAGGTCAAGCACCAGTTCTTACCCATCAAGCAGATCATTGAGGAAGACGATGTTTTCATCAAGTTGCCTGAGGAAGGCGAGACTGACGTCAAATTCATTGGTGAGAAGAAGAAGATCGCTGCTGCTCAGGAGAAAGCCAGACAGACCACCTCTCAGTACAAGGTGGACGTCTTGGACATGAGCAAGGCCCACAAGGGTAACCTTCCTCACGTTAGAGCTGTAGCTGCATTGTTGAGAAAGAACGGTCATTTCAAAAAGATCGCCGCTGCCCAAAACGTCGTCATTACTCCCCCTAAGTTTGACTTCTTGGCTGACGAGTCCAACACCTCTATTCCAATTGAGATCACAGTCAACGCTGCTGAGCCCGATGTTGCAAGCCAGACAAGAAAGGCCATTGTCGCCACTGTCAACAAGTTCTCGCCTGAAAAGTCCAAGGTTATTGAGGACATCGACAGCTTCTTGGTTCAGGAAGCCCCAGCCATTCTTGATATCTCTGCACCTGCTAACAAGGCCGACTACGTTGTGCTTGGCAACAGAATCGTCTTGTTTGACGTCTCCGAGACTGAGGAGAGCGACGACTTTGATGTCGACGTTTCCTCTACTGACAACTTGCTGGAGGTCAACAAGAGCTTGGACCAATTGAGAGCCAAGCAAGACTCCTTGTCCAGCACCGTCTTGACTGTCGACTCCAAGAAGCAAAACGCCATTGCAGGTGAAAACAAGGCTGTGTTGAAGTCTTTGATTGCCGAATTCCCAGTTAACGCTGTGGAGGTTGAGCTCCACAATGACGGCACCCAGAGCAGTGAAAATAGCATCTACATCCATGGTCTCAAGGAGTATGTTGAGAAGATCAAGGACAGCATTAACGGTCTTGTTAGAGACTTTGAGGAGCACGGCAAGAAGTACACTTCTTCAATCGAGCTTCCCGCTTTCGTGCTTCCAAGAATTGTTGGTAGAGGTGGCAGTGCCATCCAAGCTCTCAGAAGAGAGTACGACATCAACATCGAACAAAACGAAAAGACCGAGTCTGTCACAGACAAGAGTATCAAAACTACATTGCATCTCGTGGGTCAGAAGAGATCTGTCGAGGCCGCTAAGGAGATTCTCCTGAAGTCGGCTAAAAAGCATGCTGACGAAACCGTCGCCAGAGTCAGAGTTGAGCAACAGTACCACAAGCGTATTGCTGGTCCTCGTTTTGTTTACATGAACAGATTGCAGGACAAATACAGTGTTGCCATCAGATTCCCATCAGAAAAGACCGACTTCCTGAGCCAGAAGTACGATGACACTCCTTCCAACAAGGATGAAGTCACCATCAAGGGTCCTTCTAGAGGTGTTGCTAAGGCCGAAGAAGAGATCAAGGAATTGCTCAATTTCGAAAAGGAGAATGGTCACAAGGAGTCCATCAAGATTCCATCCAAGGCATTGGCCAGAGTTATCGGAAAGGGTGGTGAGACCATCAGAGACATTACCGAGGGCTTTGGTGTTGAGTACCATTTCAACAGAGACAAGGCAGCTGAGGAGGAACAGGGCTATGCCGAGGTTGAGTTCACTGGTTCCAGAACCGCATTGAAGGATACCATCAAGAGAGTGAAGGAGATCATCGAGGAGGTTGAAAACTTCGTCACCATTACCATCAACGTGCCCGCCAAGTACCACCGTGACTTGATTGGCCCAAGCGGTAGCGTGATGAGAGAAATCATCAGCAAGGCTGGTGGTGAGGATGTTGCCAGACAAAAGTACATTCACTTGTTGCGTGTTCCAGACGAGGGCTCTGGATCGGAGGAGGTTGTCTCTGCCGGTGACAAGGAAATTGTGGAGAAGGTGATTGAGCAAGTCAAGAAGATTGTGGCTGACAAGGAGGCTTCTGTGGTGGAGACCGTCGAGGTTGCCAAGGACAGACACGGAGCACTTATCGGTACTGGTGGATCTGTTCGTCACAAATTGGAAGAGGACTATGGAGTGACCATTTCGATCCCAAGAGCCAGCGACAGCCTGACTGAGATCAAATTGATTGGATTGCCTGAAAAAATTGAAAAATTGAAGGAGAAGATCGTCGAGATGACCAAGGACGACTGGAACGAGGTTGTGGAAGTGCCCAGCTCCTTGCACTCGCTCGTTTCCGAAAAAGCAGCCATCTTCAAGACGTTCAAGTCTGACTACAAGGTGGACGTGACTCATGGCAACTTGACAAGAAAAGCATCCAAACTCACCAATGGCTACATCCCCGCCCCACCAGAGGGAGCTGTGGCTGAAGAGGGGGACGATTCGGCGTTCAAGTTCACCACTGCATTGTTGGAGAAGCCCGATGGCGAAGATGTTGTGATTCCATGGAGACTCCAAGGTGAAAAAGACGCCACAGCCAAGGTGGCCGAGATTGTTCAAGAACGCTTGGAGAAGGCCAAGGCCGCTACGCACGGGGGATGGTTCTATCTCAAGGACCCCAAGAATAAGGTTCCACGTCTCTTGGGACCCCAAGGCCGCAACATCAAGGAGATTCGCAAGAACACGGGAGCATTCATCACGGTGCCAAGAGCAAATGACAAACACAACGGTTTTGTGTATGTGGTGGGCACCGAAGAGAGCTTGCTAGCAGTTGAAAAAGCGCTTTCCCAATTGGTTTGAAGCGCATGAGAGAGAAGGAGTTTCTATTTAGATAAGCACGCATAAACTGTAAATGGAGTAATTAGCATCGCAACTCGTAAAGAAGTAAATTTGTGGCTGCAAACCGAAAATTGCCTCATACATTAGCTCGCGCAGCAGGACAATAGTTAGTGTGAGCAGTAAGCGAAGTCATCATAGAATGGGGTCACGTGAAATGACATTACCATCTAGCGTCAGCAGACCGTTTCGGACTCTTAGAAATGGTAAAAACGTTCGGAGTGAAGGACAGGGTCTTCCGAAAATTATTTGAAGAGCAATTGAAGAGTAAGTTACAAAACCAGGCTTAATTAATCACATCATGCTGCGCATATTACCCCAGTATTACTGTGGCTGAAAGTCTACTTATTCTGCCAAGGTGTGGACATGAAAAAAATGGCAAAAAGTGCAACGAAAGGTGTGCCTGCAGGGCGGTTGCCGAGGTTTGTGCGACATCCGAGGGTGTTGCAAAGGTTTTTCCGGGCCGCTGGCGGGCCAAGCCGCATGGGAACGTGATGAATATATGTGACCAAGCGCGACTTCCGAGGGTATTACCGGCCGCGCTTCTAGGGCGATCGTCTGCTGGAGCTGCAAGTGCAGCAGCTATGGCATTTCTTTTTACTACCACACTTGTGACTATATATCTACGTCAAGATCCTTTTCAAACACCATATCTAAAGTTTTAGCGATGGCTGATTCCGAATT